TTTTTTTTTTGTATTTTTAGTAGAGACGGGGTTTCACCATGTTGACCAGAATGGTCTCGATCTCTTGACCTCGTGATCCACCCGTCGCGGCCTCCCAAAGTGCTGGGATTACAGACGTGAGCCACCGCGCCCGGCCTCTTTTTTTTATTATAATGCATTCATGGGGTACAAGTACAGTTCTCTTACATGCATTGATTGCATAGTGATTCTGTCAGGGCTTGTAGGATATCCATCACTCATGGTAACATACCTTGTATCCTGTTTCATAATTTCTCATTATCCACCCCTCCACCTGCTTCTTTATCCATCTGTGAAACCTTAGTCCTAGGCATAGTATTTGAGGCACAGTAAACATTTGTTATATGTTGAATGGTGAGCACCGAAGCAAAACTTACCATTCTACTACTGTTAACAGGTAAATCTTTTTCTCCACTTTTATTTTAGATATAGGGGGTGCACGTGCAGATCGGTTACATGTGACTATTGCGTGATGCTGAGGTTTGGAGTACAGATCCCATCATCCAGGAAGTGAGCATAGTACCTGATAGGTAGTCTTTTAACCTGGCCACCCCGGTTCCCTCTATTCTCTGGTAGTCCACAGTGTCTATTGTTTCCATATTTATGTCCATGTGTGCTCAAGGTGCAGCAGGTAAATCTTAAACAGCATTGGACAATCTATTTGGAGTATTACTTATATCTGGGCAAAGTGGATACTTATAGAAACTCAAATAGAGTGTATAAGCTATACTTTAAGGTGTCAGAGTTCAGGGCTACATTGACAATTCATTGTAATATGGTTTCAGGTAAAACATGGATACTCCAAGAGAGTCTGGTGTACACTAATAGGAAAGACGTTATATTATTTTCGGAGTCAAGAAGATAAGGTATGTATACATTTTTAATATGCTAATTGAAGTAACTTTTTGTTAAGGCTTATACTTTTCCTTTTCACTCTTCTGTTACTTTGTAAAACTTCAGAGTCTTTATAAGGTTGAAATTTGGTACAATTTGGTTCAACGGACATAATTATACAAGGGTCTATCACCTACACCTCCAGCGGTCTTGATTCTTAATTACAAGCCTTAGCAACTTTTAATTAATCCATCTTCTAAGACCTATAAAAGTCTTCTTCTACTCCCTCCCACAGCCATCAGTTTCTTATATTTTCCCAGGTTCTTACAGACCAGATAAGGTTGATAGAAGGAAGCAGCAAGTTAGGAAACAAAACCTAAGAAGGAAAAAGAATCTAGTTCTGTCCCAGGCCCTCAAATTCCTGAATACCACTTATCTACCCATCCATCTGCCTGTTTATATTCTGTTTATTAATATTTAAACTAATCCCCTTCCCAAAAGAATCTAAATTACTTTTACTTTCAGAATAAAAAGATGGGGTATCTACCCAAAGGTAAAATGTATGCCCAGTCATCATTATGGGTATTCTGTGTCACCTTTGGATAACTGAAACTATAAAAATTGAACCAACATGGGCCATGAGTACTTGAATAATATAATAGTGTTCGCTCCTCTGAAGAGCAGCCTGTGACTGATTACTGTGTTAATGAGACTAAACTTCTTGGTCTAGTGACCATGTGGGACAATTAGTATTTTTCTTTGTCTTTTAACAGACTACACTCTCAGGTCTGATCAGCTGTATTTAAAATACATGCCTTTATACTCAGCATTGCTAATGGGGTAGAGGTTAACACAGTACAACCATTGAAAACAATACTGAGGCTAGGCACGATGGTTCATGCCTATGATCCCAGCACTTTGGGAGGTGAAGAGATGGGAGGATTGTTTGAGACCAACCTGGACAACATAGTAGGATCCTGTCTCTACAAAAAAAATTTAAAAATTAGCTGAGCATGGTAGTGCATGCCTGTAGTCCCAACTACTAGGGAGACTAAGGTTGGAGGATCACTTGAGCCCAGAAGGTGCAGGTTACAGTGAGCCATGATTCGCACCATTGCACTCCAGGCTGGTCGACAAAATGAGACCCTGTCTCAAAAGAAACATACAAACAATCTCTAAAGTAGTGTGGGAAAATCCTCACATACAAATGCTACCTGAATATGTACAATACAAAATTATATACTCAATGTAATCCTAACTTGTCAATCAAGAAAACAGAAACCACTCTATGTATTACTGGTGTAAAAGTTCTAATGCCAGCCTGGGCAACATAGCAAAACCTCATCTCTACTAAACAGAAAAATTATCCAGTCATGGTGATGCATGCTTGCAGTCCTGGCTACTTGGCAGGCTAAGGCAGGAGGATTGCTTGAGCTCAGGAGATCAAGGCTGCAGTGAGCTGTGATCACACCACTGCATTCCAGCCTGGGTGACAGAGTGACACCCTATCTCAAAAAAAATTAAAAATAAAAGTTTTAATATAGAATTGGGGACATACATAAATTTTAGAAAAGTTTTATGACTTACATAACTTTTAGAAAAGTCGTCGGGGGTAAAGGTTAGAGAAACTGCCAATGAAGGTAAGAAGTCAACACTGAAGATTTCTGGCCAAAGGACCAAAGGCAGCTGGTCCTCGAGGGTTCACTGGGAATCTTCAGTGAGTCTCACATGAGCCCCAACATCTGGCCACAACAGTCCCAGGAGAATAATGACTCTTCTACCCTCACCTTCTAAACTTCAAGTAGATTCTCTCATAGGAAACTCTAACTGGGAACCATAACAGGGAAGGAGGTTCTGGCAAATTCGGTTCCCAACTTCTCTGCAATTATGAGATCTTAGAGGATGATGATTGGAATGCCGAGTTTTATCTCAGTCTGACACATCTAAATAAAAATAAACAGAGAAGACAGAAAAGGAAGTATACCAATTGTTGAATAATTATCTGTGATCACAGTAATGTGGATGGTTTCTTTCTTTTTTAAATCCTTTCCATACGTACCAAGTTTCTGTAGTAGGCGTGTGTTTTTATAAATAGAAAAATAATTTAATAAAAATGGATAGCATTGATCACAGAAGCAACAAGTCAGAAGAATGGATACATGAACAGAAATCCATTATAACCACTGGAAAAGTATTGAGAATATGTGTGAATCAGTGTAGGCCTACTTCATTTTTTGCTGTAAATGTTTCCAAGATAATTTGCTTTTAATCTGTATCAGTGTCTTTTTTTATGAAATCAAAACATTTGAAACCACTAGGTCTATTTGCTGCTTATCAAGGCATGGTGCATCCTTTGGTAGAATGAATAACCATCTTTAAGTATTAGGGTGGGTGAAAGGTAGATTTTCATATGATGTGTGCCCAAAGCACACATTTAGGTTAGTATTGTTATGTATTATCATAGTATTAATAGAATTAGTTTTCTTCAACCTATTTTTAAAAGCTTGCTTTTTAGGAGAGGCAGAATTTTATCTCCGCTTTCTTAGGGTTTTTGGCAGGCCTGAGAATTAGATTCACATTAAGACAGATTACAGGAGAGAACATATAAATTTATTTAATGTAAGTTTTACATCACACAGGAGCCCTCCTAAAGCAATGAGGACCCAAAGACTTAAAGTTGAACATTTATATACTGAATTAGACGAAGCATAATAAATTGTGAAAATGTGACAGGCAAAGAGCCTTAGGCTAAGGTAGTTAGTTGGGTGGAGAAGTGATGAGGAAGATAAGGGTATGTTTAACAAGGGTTGTTTGTATAACTTTCCTCTGGTCTCAGCTTCCCATCTTAACAGGAATCTTGTTTTCCTTCTAGTATAGGAGGATAGCTTTCATTTAGGTGTTTTATCTCCTGCCTTTGGGAAGAAAGGCAGAGGGTCAGAACGCCCTTATTGCACCTGCTGCTTTTAAAAGTGCCTTTAGTTTAAAATAACTTTTATGCCAAGGTGATATCTTTTAGGGTGGCAGAATGCCACCCTTCAGCTTTTGCTCTGAGTGAGGTGACAAACCACTGGAGGGCTTTGAGCAGAACAGGGATACGATCTTGCCTGTGTCTAACAGGTGTACTCTGACAGCTGATTAAGAATAGACTGAAGGGAATAAGGAAGAGATGCATTAGGAGGCCATTGCAGTCATTCAGGTGAGAAGGGATTGTGGTTTAGTGGTGCTGTGGATGTGTGAGAGGTGACCAGATTCTAGATAGATCCTGAAAGCCTTGCTGACAAGATTTATTGACTGAAAAGTCAATGTGAGAGACAGAAAAGGGTCAGCAATGATGCCAAGGTTTTGCACATTAATAGATATTAATTGCCAACAACTTGAGTTGGGGAAGACTGGGCAGAGCAGGTTATTAAAGAAGACTTACCAGAGTAAGTCTGAGATGCTGTTAAGTTTGAGAAGCTATCCAACATCTAAGTAGAGTTAGTGAGTCTGGGAGTAGCTAACATGTGCTGGTATTAAAGCTATGAGCTTAGATGAGGTCACCCAGAAAGTGAATATAGTTGGAAGAAGGGCTTGAGCACTGAGCCCTGAAACTTACCATGAAAATGTGTGATGTAGATATCCTTGTAGTTAGAATGAACTTTTTCAAAACTCCAGTTGCAAACTTGGCCAAAGATTTTAGAAGTTATAAATCTGATGCAGACCATGTATTTTCCTGGAATAAAGGTACTACATTAGAGCAAAAGTTTTAACAATAGATAGGCCAGATATTCAGCACAGCAGCTATAGTTGGTTATGTCAATAAAAGCATAGATAAAATTTAATGTAAATTGGCTTTAGAAAGTTTTTCTTACCCTTAAGATGGAGAAATTCATGGCATTGTTTTGTGATGTATTATGTTAGTAAAGAGCGTCAGAATGTTCCTTTGGGATGATAGTTCATTTTGTACTATCTATCTAATCTTGTTATTTTTTCTAGGACCAATATTTTTCTTTTCAATGAACGGTTTTGAGACTATATACACTTGCCCTTTTGATCCAATAACTTAAACCGCTGATCAATTCTGTGGGGGAAAAAAGTCAAATGAATGTTTTGGTGAATTATTACTGGTTACTAGTTGCTTAACTAGGTAATGGGTCATTTTGAAGCAGCCTCATTGCATGGGGAAAATACCAAGGTTCTTGTTCTCACGGGCAAGGAGATCCAGGTCACAGACACAAACACAGACAGAGTGAATTTAGAGCAGGAGTTTAATAGATAGTGCAAAAGGAAAGACAGCTTTCCATCCCAGAGAGGGGGTCCCTAGTGGGTTGCCAAGTTGTAGTAAAAATGTCAGGGTTTTTATAAATGGGCTAGCGAGGAGGGGGCTCGTAAGGAGGGGATATCCTATCCCCCTGATGGTTTAGTTGGGACTAGGTGTGCTATCTGTGCAAAGCAGAGTTTTTTTTATCAGCTGTGTCCCATTCCTTGACCACATAGGCTGACTCTTAGTCTGTGTTTCTTTGTCCTGCTTCTCTGGGAGGGAGAGTTTCTGTGTCTGTTCCCAACTTGTTGCAGCTGCAGGCATCCCCCACAGTCTGCTTTTAGCTTCCCTATCTTAGTGTACCCAAAGGGAAAAGAATGTGCTTATTAAGGCTGTTTTATTGGGGACCCATTGTATAAGTGTGAAGTTTGATGATTACCCAGGAGGCCTTCCCCACTCCTTCTGTGCCGAAGCTGTCTTATCTGTGTTTTTCTGTCTGCTCTTTCAGGCTGCTTGTTGTTAGAAGAGAAGTGATTTCCTTGAACTGCGTGAGTTTAGAAGGGGAGCTATCTTTGAGCTGCTTTTTGTTAAAAGGAAAGCTTTCTGTTGGGGACTCGCTTTACCCTGTCTACTTAAATAATTTCTTTCTGCCTCCTTTAACAATTTTAGTACAGCTGAATCACCTGAACTATTGTTCAGAAGTAGCATCTTGCTTTTTCCTCAAAAGTTAAATCTCTAGTATATATATTGTTCTTTCATATTACTATTGGGCTCTTTGGTTGTTGCCACTACTTTTGTTGCACTGTGGATAATCAAATTGTCTGTAGGCATCATTTTAAAAAAGGTATGTTATGCTGGAGTGGTGGCTAATGCTTATGATTCTAGCACTTTGGGAGACTGAGGCAGGAGGATTCTTTGAGCCCAGGAGTTTGAGACTGGCCTGGGCAATGTAGTGAGACCCTAGCTCCAAAAAAAAAAATTTTTTTTTTAATTAGCTGGGCATGATGGCATGTGCCTGTAGTGCTAGCTATTTGAAAGGCTGAGAAGGAAGGATCCCTTGAGCCCAGGAGTTTGAGGTTACAGTGAGGTTACTGATTGTACCACTGTACTCCAGCCTGGGAGACAGAGGAGACCCTATCTCTTAAAAAATAAGGAAAACAAAAAAATAAAATACAAATTTAAAAGGTATGCTTTATAAAGGTAAAAATGAAAAGGACTATGAAATATTTTAGTAAGAAAAGATTTGGAAAGTGCCTTCCTCACAATTACTAATATTTACTTTAGTTTCCTTTAGGTCAGATCAAACTCTGGGAGGCTAAAGTGGAAGAGGTTGACAGATCTTGTGATTCAGATGAAGATTATGAAGCCAGTGGACGTAGTCTGTTATCCACACATTATACCATCGTTATCCATCCCAAAGACCAAGGTCCGACTTACCTCCTAATTGGATCCAAGCATGAAAAGGTATTCTAAGACATATTGGTTGATTTAGAGTGATGTAGACTATTATTATTCAGATATTGGTAATAATTGTCAAATCAATTTAATGAAAATAAGGAAGAAAATTTTGCTATAGACTTTCAGCTCTGTTTGCAGAGATTCTTTACCTCCCTGGAAATGAGCCTTGTTCAAATGTGTCATTTTCCAGTCCTGTTGGTAAAAGTGGTATCAAGGCTGAAATTAGTGCATGGGAAGTGCATGGCTAAAGGACCTTATGTTAAAAATGTGGATCTCTCAGATTGAACATTTTTTAGTAGATCTAAGGCCTCCATTTTATGTTTTTGATTCATTTTCAACAAAATTTGGGCTTAGATACAATTGAAAATGATTTTATGTGTTATATATACATGTAGTCATTTATGATAAAGGAGTCATCACAAATTAATGGGGAAGTTATATATATCCTTCAATACATATGATTATATATTTATTATATATTGAGGAAATTGGCTACTTAGGAAACATTAGTTTAGTCTTTCATCTCATACAGATAGCAAAATCATTTCCAGATGAATTTAAAGAGTTAGGAGAATTCAATGAAACTATTTTTTAAAAAGGCCTTTATTTAATTTCTGAATCAGAAGTACTTTCTAAGAAAACAAAAAGGCAGTGTAAGAAATCAGAGTGCAAATGGTTGATAGATTTGACTATAAATAGTGAAATACTTCTGTATATCAAATATTATCATAAATATGACTAAACAAAGAAAATGTGGTACATATACACCATGGAGTACTACACAGCCATAAAAAACGATGAGCTCGTGTCCTTTGTAGGGACTTGGATGAATCTGGAAACCATCATTCTCAGCAGACTGACACAAGAACAGAAAGCCAAACACCGTATGTTCTCACTCATAGGCAGGTGCTGAGCAATGAGAACACGTGGACTTAGGGAGAGGAGCATCACACACTGGGGGCTGTTGGGGGAGGATAAGGGAGAGACAGCAGGGTGTGGGGAGGGAGGGGGGGTGAGGAGGGATAACATGGAGAGAAATGCCAGATTTAGTATGCACCTAAAGTAAAATAAATAAATTTTTTTAAAAATAAAAAAATTAAAAAAATAAAGATCATTTGACCATAAAAAAAAATGACTAAAAAGATAATACAGAAAACAAAATATTTCATGGATGGCTACTGTATCTTTAACATATAAACAACTCTTTATAGATTATTATTGTTGCTATTAATCATTGTTTTTGAGCACATGTATCAGGCCAAGTGCTAAGTATGTCTCTTCTTCATCTTTCCAATTACCCTCTGTGGGAGGTTACCATATTCCCATTTGTAGATGGAAAGACTGAAGCTCTTTCCTTTGGTCACACATCTGGCAAGAGTTGATGTTAGACCCCTGTCTCTAACCACAGAGGCTGTGTTCCTGAACACTTGCCTCTGTTGCCTCTCATTTGATTTGAAAAGGACTATGTTTCTAGTAGAAAAATGGGAAGAGGGCCTGATGAACAACTTACCGAGGAATTTAATGGCTAATGAATGCTTCTGTTCATCTGTAATCAAAGATATGCACATTTAAACATGATAAAGCTTTTATTGCCTCTCAGATTATAAAGGTTTAAAAAATTATGTAAGTGAAGCTATGAGAAGGGAAGCATTCCTATATATCACTGGTGGGAATAGAAATTAGTGTAAATGCTTTGGAAAGTACTTTGAAAATAGTTTTCAAGAGTTCCTAAAAGTTTTCATGCCCTGGTAATGACTCATAATTCTATTTCAAAAAATATATGTATTAAGAAAAGATTGGCTGGGCATGGTGGCTTATGCCTGTAATCCCAGCATTTTGGGAGGCTGTGGCAGGTAGATCACCTAAGTTTAGGAGTTCAAAATCAGCCTGTGGTAAAACCCCATCTCTACTAAAAATACAAAAATCAGCTGAGCATGGTGGCAGCCACCTGTAATCCAAGCTACTCGGGAGGCTGAGGCAGGAGAATCACTTGAACCTGGGAGATAGAGGCTGCAGTGAGCTGAGATTGCACCATTGCACTCCAGCCTGGGTAACAGAGACTCCATCTCAAAAATAAATAAATAAATAAGAAAAAGAAAATGTTAATAAATGCAGCCAAACATTTATGTATAGTTTGTTTGATACAATACTTTTTTTTTTTTGAAACAGAGTTTCACTCTGTTGCCCAGGCTGTAGTGCAGTGGCCCGATCTCGACTCACTGCAACCTCTACCTCTCAGGTTTAAGTGATTCTCCTGCCCCATCCCCCCAAGTAGCTGAGATTACAGGCAGGCATCACCATTCCTGGCTAATTTTTGTATTTTTAGTAGAGACAGGGTTTTACCATGTTGGCCAGGCTGGTCTCGAACCCCTGACCTCAGGTGATCCACCTACCTCCGCCTCCCAAAGTGCCGGGATTACAGGTGTGAGCCACTATGCCCAGCCTATAATACTCTTTTTAAAATGATTTTACTTTTGAAATATTTTAAACATGGAAAATATAACATTTCCTTTTTAGATAAAAGACGATAGCTATCACAGTATTTTTTTATCAGTGAGGAGTTAGTAACTATTATAATGTTCAACAATAAGAAATTGATTAAATAAATATGGTATGTCCATATGTGTAACAGGATATCCTGCAGCCATTCAAATTTGTTTATAAAGAATTTCTAGCAACGAGGGAGTGCTTGTACTATCTTAATAAAATTCAGAAATTATCCTCTACTTTTAGAATAATTCAACTATGTAAAAATGTAATCTACATATACATTTCCATAGAGAAAAAAGGCCAGTAATCTTGGGTGAGTGGGATAAGATAGATATTATGTTTTCTTTAAATTTTCAGGATTTCCAAAAGATTCTGTATGTATCACTCTGGGAATCAGATTTTAAATTTAATAGAATTTATTGTATTTTGTAAAAGAGTATCAGCTGGTTATAGTCTCTTAACATCTATATTCTTTTTCTTGATTTTGTCATGCTTTTCTAAGAAGCATCTGAAGAAAATAAGAAAAATGTGAATAATGGGACAAGGTAACATAAGCAAGTTCAAGTGAGCATGCCTGAGAATTGTTTGAATAAATGGCTCTTCATTATTATTTAAAAATTAAAGCAAGTTATTCTTTTCCATCTCAAAGTTTTCTACTGTTTATGCAAGTTGTTTTTTTCTTTAAGTAATCAAAACTATATCTTAACATTTCTATTAATATGTTCTTGTTTCAAGGACACTTGGCTTTATCATCTGACTGTTGCAGCTGGAAGCAGCAATATAAATGTTGGCTCTGAATTTGAACAACTGGTTTGCAAATTGCTAAATATAGACGGGGAGCCTTGTAAGTTCATAAACTTATAAATAAAGCTTTATGGTTTATGAAATGGACCTCAACCCCCTTAACCTGATTGAATTTTCACTTAATGGGTACCTGTTTCTCTGAAATAAACCCACCTTTTCATTGCCTTTGCTCTTCATGGGAGAGAATTCTCTCAGTGGCTCCTTGGCTGCAGGGACACCATCATTCCTCACTAGGCTGTATCCCATCACCTCCCTCTGCCTTTCCTCCCATTGCTTCTCTGTTTGAAACGCCCCCCTTCCTTGGCAGTCCTTACCAACATTACGAAACCCCACCTAGCCTTAGGCGATCCCCCAGCCAGCCCCGCATCTGGCTCATAAAAGGCGCTTTGTCAATGTTAAAATTATGTCCTAATGCAATTTGTCCCTTAATTATTTTATAGCAAGCTTGTCCAACCTGTAACCCGCAGGCTGCATGTGGCCCAGGATGGCTTTGAATGTGGCCCAACACAAATTCCTAAACTTTCTTAAAACATTATGAAATTCCCTTTGAGTTTTTTTTTTTTTAAGCTCATCAGCTATTGTTAGTGTGTGGCCCAAGACAATTCTTCTTCCAGTATGGCCCAGGGAAGCCAAAAGATTTATAGCATGTATAGTTTTCCATTGAAATTTTTTGTTTTGCTTTGTTTTTGAGATGAAGTCTCACTCTGTCACCCAGGCTAGAGTGCAGTGGCATGTTCTCAGCTGACTATGACCTCCGCCTCCTGGGATCAAGCAATCCTCCTGCCTCAGCCTCCTGAGTAGCTGGGAACACAGGTGTGCACTACCATGCCTAGCTGATTTTGTATCTTTGGTAGAGATGGGGGTTTCGTCATGTTGCACAGACTGGTCTTGAACTCCTAAGCTCAAGCAATCTGCCCATCTCAGCCTCCCAAAGTGCTGGCATTACAGGCATGAGCCACTGTGCCTGGCCCAAAATTAATTTTTGTGGTTAAGGGTTCCCCATTGATAATCTAGATCCTCTCCTATCCTTTACATACTAAGACCACATTTTATTTGCTGTGTCCAACATAGGAATTTAATAGATGTTGATTTCAGGAATGCCTTCAAATTCCTCATTATATCTCTTTCTACATTGGCTTCTCCTCTCTAGAGAAGTTCTAGGTCTTTCCCCAGCTCTTTCTCATATATAGTCATGCCCCCTACCTAGATCGCCAATCTTTAGCACATTTAAGCAATGTGATAGTACCCTGCTAGACTTATTGCAGCCTAGTAAATTAGGACCCAACTCTTCTAGATTATCCAAAACAGGAACATTTCTCACTCATAAGTGGGAGCTAAACTGTAAGGATGCAAAGGCATGAGAATGACACAGTAGACTTTGGGAACTCAGGGGGAAAGGGTGGGAAGTGGGTGAGGCAAGTCAAGTTCAGTATATACTGCTTGGGTGATAGGTGCACCAAAATCTCACAGATTACCACTAAAGAACTTACTCATATAAGTAAATACCACCTATTGCCCAAAAACCTATGGAAAATTTTTAAACTAAAACAAAAAAACCCAGAAACTCGCCAAAGAGTCCCAATGGCCTGGCAACCAAAATAAAATAATGTTGCCAAGGGTTTTTTCTGACCTTTTTGACCTAAAGTTGTGAGCCAAGCCTGAATGAGCTAATGTCTAAAGGATTAATTTAATGGGAGGCCAAAATAAGTGGTTTATTCAGTTTTCTGTTTATATTTTATTCTGCATTTAGCCTCTCAGATATGGAGACACCCCACTTTGTGTCACAGCAAAGAAGGAATCATTTCCCCTCTGACAACTCTACCTTCTGAAGCCCTACAGACAGAAGCTATTAAATTATTTAAGGTAAAATACCTATACGTTGTTAAATAATTTCATTGGAAAAAAATTAAAAATAACAATTGGGGTTGCAAAAGTTTACTCCCAGAAAATTCAAAATGTGTTTATTATTATTATTAAGAAAATCATTGAAATAAAATTAGGTGAATTTAATATGCTTTCTGAGTGAGGATTTTAGATTTACTGAAATAAACTATTAATAGGTGTGGTTTGGGCAATGTAGTATCAGATGAATCATTTCCCCTATAACCTCTGATTTTTCACATCACACCAAGTGCAGCACTGGGAGAGGGGTCAGCACTCTTTCCTCTCTAGTGTTACTCTCCGTTTCTTCCTCAATCTCTGTTAGAAATCCCTGATCACTCAAAACTTGCCAAGTAACTATAACACTCTTTATCCTTCCATTTCTATCATCAGTTACCTTCCAGTAACTCTTCAGATTTCTCTAAGAGCCAGGCGTGGTGGCTTAATGCCTGTAATCCCAGCACTTTGATAGGATGAGGAGGGTGGATCACCTGAGCTCAGGAGTTTGAGATCAGCCTGGCCAACATGGTGAAACCACAACTCTACTAAAAATACAAAATTAGCTGGGTATGGTGGTACATGCCTGTCATCCCAGCTACTTGGGAGGCTGAGGCAAGAGAATCGCTTGAACCCAGGAGGTGGAGGTTGCAGTGAGCCAAGATCACACCACTGCACTCCAGCCCAGGCAACAAGAGTGAAACTTTGTCTCAAAAGAAAAGAAAAATTATTTAAGGGTTTTAGTTCCCAACTCACATTCTCTACTGAAGCCTTGTAAATTACTGTTATCGCCTCACTCACCAATGCTATGGTTTTAAGATTCTTGACCTCCTTAATTCCAGTAAGCTTCACCTCTAGTCTCCTTCATTATCCCATTCTCCATGTCCACACTTGACTTCACCATTCTTCACAAGTACGTCACCTCTAAAAGCTTCAATTCTAATATATCTTTCTTTAACCAGAATGCTGGCCTAAAAGCTCACTTATATTTTTTAACTCTTCCATTTTTTCGTCATCTCTAAGACCTTTATTTTGAACCATCTATTTTCTTTGAGATCATGATAACTGTGTCTTAGCTTTTCTTCCTTCCTTATCCAGTCTGGTTTGCTCCTATTAATTCTTGTAGTTCCTTAGGATCCATATTTCCATGCACTCTTCAGCAGATTCCAACCTAGATCAGTGCCACGTTTTCTGCTCCTGGGATAACCAGATGTGCAGTGCTGCAGAGCATCAAACAGCCATGTAGCCTGATGCCACTATAAATGCATGGTCTTCATCCCTTGCAGCCAACTTTCTGTCTCTGTGCTTCTCTTTGATCACATCCCCCTCAAACTCTCTAGTTCATAATACAGCAGAGAAACTTACCTTCTATTTCACTGAGAAAACTGGAGGACATCAGACATGACATGACCACCATAAAGCCCTCCCGCTGACAGACAACCTTTCATCTCTTTTCTCCTCCACTCCTCTAGCCCCAGAATATGGTGGACCTTCTGCATTTCCAAGTCTGGACTCTACACCAGGATCTTGGTACTACTTCATTTTCCCCTAGTCTCTTGGAGCCTCAATCTCTTTCTTTTGGCCTTGTCTTACCTAAGTTTCTCCCATCTCAAATAATCCATTTGTTTATTAGATAATATTATGGAATTATTGTTAATTTGGGGGTCATGATGATGGCATGATGGCTATTAAAAAATCTTTATCAATTGGAGATCTAGCCTGAAGTATTTATTGGTAAAGTAATATGATATACATTAAAATACTCCAGAAGAAAAGAAAGTAAGGGTGGGAAGGTAGTGAAGTTTGGCAAAATGCTGGTAATTATTGACACTGGGTGATGGGTACATGAGTGATTATTATGCTGTCCTCTCTACTTTTATACATTCTAAAAATTTCTATAATTAAAAATTTAAAAATATCCACCTGTAGAATACACAAATACCTAAAGCAAAAAAGACTATACAAATATATTTGAAAATCTGGAAGAAGTGGTCAATTTTATAAGAAAATATAAATGACCAAAATTGATTCCACAGGAAACTGAAAATCTAAACAGAGGCATTTACCAAACTTTATGTGTAGAATTTCAGTGCTGTTTAAATTGTCCCAAAGCATAGAAAAAGAGGGAAATTTTCCAAATTCAAGTTTTTCTTTTACTTTTTACTTGGGAAAATTTCCAACATACATGAGTACAGAGAATATTGCAATGAGGCCCAAAGTACCCGTCTTTCAGATCCACGGTCATCAACACATGGCCAGTTTTGTTTTAGTCTCCCATTTCCCACTGTACCCTAACTTTGGATCATTTTGAAGCAATCCTCAATCATGATATCACCATATTCTCTTTGTTAAGTAAGTGTCACTTTCATATGAAAACCCAGCAAAGATTGTACAAAAATAATAAAATATTAGCAGTCAGAATCCAACATCATTTTAGGAATATTAAATCACTCAATAGCAAAAAACAAATAATCCAATTTTAAAATGGGCAAAAGATCTCAATAGATATTTCTCAAAAGAAGACATGCAAATGGCCAACAAGTACATGAATAAATGCTAAGCATTGCTAATCATCAGGGAAATGCAAATCAAAATCATAATGAAATATCACCTCACTCCAGTTAAAATGGCTATTATCAAAAAGACAGAAAATAATAAGTCTGTCAAGGATGCAGAGAAAGAGGAAAACTCATACACCATTGGTGGGAATGTAAATTAGTGCAACAAATCTGGAAAACAGTATGGAGGTTCCTCAAAAAACTAAAAATAAAACTACCATGTAATCCAGCACTCTCACTGGGAGTATATCCAAATGAAAGGAAGTCAGTATATTGAAGATATATCTGAATTCCTATATTTATCATAACACTTATAAGAACCGATATATGAAGTCAAACTAAGTGTCCATCAAAAGATGAATACATAAGATGGGCTGAGCGAGGTGACTCAGGCCTGTAATCCCAGCACTTTGGGAGGCCAAGGCACGTGGATCACTTGAGGCCAGGAGTTTATCAGCCTGGCCAACATGGGGAAACCGTGACTCTACTAAAAATACAAAAATCAACTGGGTGTGGTGGCACATGCCTGTAGTCCCAGCTACTAGGGAGGCTGAGGCACAAGAATCTCTTGAGCCTGGGTGGCAGAGGTTGTAGTGAGCCTATATCATGCCACTGCACTCCAGCCTGGGTGACAGAGCAAGACTCTGTGTCAAAAAAAAAAAGAAAGAAAAGAAAAGAAAATATAGTATATATACATAGTGGAATATTATCCAGCCCTTAAGAAAAATGAAGCCCTGTCATTTACAGCAACATAGATGGAACTGGAGGCCATACGTTAAGTAAAATAAGCCAGGCACGGAAAGACAAATTTCTCATGTTCTCACTCATAGGTGGGAGCTAAAAAAGTGGATCTCATAGAGGTAGATGGTAAAATAGAATGGTGGTTACCAGAGGGGGTAGAGGGTGGAGGGATGAAAGGAGGTTGGTTAATAGGTACAAAAATACATTTACATAAAAAGAGTAAGTTCTAGTGTTCAACAGCACAGTAGGGCAGCTATAGTTAACAAGAATTTAGAGTATGTTTTAAAATACTTAGAAGATTTGGAATGTTCCCAACACAAAGAAATGATAAATGTTAGAAGCAGTGGATATCCCAATTCCCTTGATTTGATTATTATACATTGCATGCATGTATCAAAAAACTCATGTACTCCATTAATATATGCAACTATTATGTGTCAATAACATTTTTTAATGTTAAAAAATATTAAATCATGATCAAAAGGGATTTATTCTAGGAAGTCAAGGATGGCTAAGTATTAGGATATCTATTAATATTACTTATTATTAGGTAGATAATCATATCTGAAGATGCTGAAAAGGCATTTAACAAATTTAACATTTATACAAGAGCGATACATAGATACTCCTTTAACATGATAAAATATTTCTTTTTTAGCTAAAAGCAAGCATCGTGCTTTATGGAGAAATGTTAGAACATTTTCACTTAAGTGAGAAAAAGACAAAAATGTGCCCCATTATTATTTTTTAAACTTTTCAATTAAAGTATAAATTATATAAAGTTTGTCATTATTATTATTACATAACATTATGTTAGGGGACTAACCTATGTAATTAGGCAATAAATGAAAATATTTACAGATGGTATATTTGTATACCCAGAATACCCAAAATAACAAATTAAAAAACTGCTACAAAGAGAATTTGGTAAGATAGTGAGAGGCACAAAATAAGCAAAAATTAGACACTTTTATGTGTGCAAGAACCAACCAGTTAGAAGATAAAAAGGAAGAACTACTTTGGGCCATGATGGAGCCACAGGGACTAGATTTTGTCTGCCAGTGGTTTTCAGACATGAATTTAGGCAGTGCAGGGCAGATTCTGCTGAAAACTAATGACATAAGCCTTGTGATTGCTGCAGCTTACTATTGAGAGATTCAAGACTGCTGTGCAGAGAGGGAGCACCCAAATAGAGTCTGGCAGTCTTCCTGAGTTGTGAAGACAGAGTTCAGAATGTGAGGCCAAGGTAGTTAGACTTCACAGGGCTGGTTGGGCGTGGTGGCTCACCCTGTAACCCCAGCACTTTGAGAGGCTAAGGTGAGTAGATCACCTGAGGTTGGGAGTTCGAGACCAGCCTGGCCAATATGGGGAAACCCTGTCTCTACTAAAAATACAAAAATTAGCTGGGTGTGGTGGCAGGTGCCTATAATCTCAGCTACTCAGGAGGCTGAGGCAGGAGCACATGACCCTGGGAGGTGGGGGTTGAAGTGAGCTGCAATCTCACCACTGCACTCCAGCCTGGGCAACAGAGCAAGACTCTGTCTTGAAAAAAAAAAAAATCACAGGGCTGAGAGGAGAGAGCTAAAGAGAGGGAGGGAGGGAGAACTCTGGAGATTTCAGTTTTCATCTGAGAACTGATAAGCATGTGTGTGTATGAGGAAAGTACCTGAGGCTGAGGACAGAAAGACACAGGTAAAAAATAATTCCAGCTCACACAGAGCTGGAAATAGTTATCCCATCTTCTAGAATGGAAAAAATCTCTGATACATTGGACATCAAAGGGAGTACACAGAGGGTGATTGCCTCAGGAATGCAGCCCAGATAGTCCTAGGCTAAAGGATATTCTGGCCCACTCTGAGAAACTTAAAAGAGACCTTGGAAGAGCCAAACTGTTTCCAAGTAATTTAACTGTCATCTCAGAGCAAAGCTAAAAAATATTTAAAGCATACTAAAAAGTCCAGTGCCCAAGAATATAAAATTCACACGTCTGCATCCATTCAAAGATCATGAGGCATATAGACAATTGGGTCAAGTATGACATATAATGGGTGAGAAAAAGTAATCATAGAATCATATCTAGAAATGATACAGGTGATGGTAGATAAGGACATTTCTGTGTCTGGTGTCTGTTGCTACATTTAAAATTTTCCAACACTTAGTGACTTAGAACATTTGGTATTTCACACAGTTTTGAAGGGTCAGGAATCTGGAAGCTGTTAAGCTGAGTGGTTCTGACTCATAGTCTTGTGAAGGTACCATCAATCTGTCAGCAGGAGCAGCAGTCATCTGAAGACTGGAATGGGGCTGGAGGATTCCAAACTCTCACATGGCTGTTGGTAAAGCAGCCTCAGTTCCTCACTTTATGCGGTTCTCCAAATGACTGTTCAAGACATGGCAACTGCCTTCCCCAAAGCAAATGATCTAACAGGGAAAAAGAGAAAGTGACCAAGATGGAAGCACATTGTTTTTTATAAGTGAATCTTAGAAATGGCATGCTACATGCTACTGGTCACGCAGACCAACCCTGGTAGAATCCAGGAGGGAATTACCTACGAATCAGAATGTCAAGATATGGAGATCATGGAGGACCACTTTGGAGATTGGCCTCCATACTTCACACGTTCAGAAAGGTAGAGGAAAGCATGAGCATTTTAAGAAGATATTAAAAAAACCCAAACTGAATTTTTAGAGATGAAAAATGCAATGACTAAATGAAAAATACACCAGATGAGATTATATGTATTTTGAAGCTCATTATTAAGTATATAGATATTTAGGATTGTTATATCTTCTAGATGAACTGGCCCCTTTATCATTATAAAATGACCCTCTTTATCTCTGGCAGAATTCCTTGCTCTGAAATCTACTTTATCTGCTATTATTGTAGTGACTCCAGATTTCTTTTGATTAGTGTTATCATAATATATCCTTCCCCATCATTTTAAACAAAAACTACTGCTGAAAAGAGAAGCGATATAATTCATGTGGAATAAATCTAATCACTCCTCACCTTGAATATATCTCTTTTTTGTTTAATTCAGACCTGCCAGCTTTTTATAAATGCTGCAGTTGACTCCCCTGCAATTGATTACCACATATCTCTAGCCCAGAGTGCTTTGCAAATCTGTCTGACACATCCTGAGCTGCAGAATGAAATTTGCTGTCAGCTTATTAAACAGACAAGACGAAGACAGCCACAGAATCAACCAGGACCATTGCAGGTAGATATTGATACATATACATGTAATTTAAAGTGATACTGTTTTTCTGATTGTAAGAATGATACACATTCAGTGTAGATATTTGGAGAATACAGAAAGTGCAGAAGAAAAAATAGCTATTAATATTTTGATATCTAACTTTTCGGTTTGTTTGTATAGTTATGTGTTTATATATAACTGTATGTATGTTGGTGTGTGCATACTCACAGTTTTTTATATTACTGGAGTTACAGTTTTCATACTACTTTTTTAAACTATAGAAAATAATCATTTCCCCTATATCCCTAGACATTCTTCAAAACATTAATGGTTATGTTAACATTGATTACTATGTATTTAGGTTTTTCCAAATTTTTACTGTAATAAATACCTCTACAGTAGACATCTTTGAACCTAAATCTTGTGTACAGTTCCAGTGAATTCCTTTGAACTCATTTTTAGAATTTCATTTATCTTCAACAATAAGCAGCATATTTTAAATTATTTCCAGGTGAAAAATGATGTTTCACTATTGATCCAGTATTCATTTATTTGTTAGTGCAGTTAAATACATTTTTTAGGTGTTTTGTAGTCATCTATGTTTATTCTTCAATGAACACCTGCTTTTATCTTTGTATCGACTCCCTGTTAGCCACAAGATAAATCAGAAGTTTCTTACCTTAGCATACAGGACTCTCAGGGTTGGATCCAGGTCTTGTGAGACTTGAAGCTTAAACAGTTTGTGAAATGCTCTTTAAGACAGATACTTGAAATGGAAGACTTTTGTACATTTTAGAAAACATATGACCTTGTAAACACAGTTAAGGCCTTTCCCAGGACCTGTGCCCAAGAGGGAATCTGAAACTTAAGCTTCATCTGTATTAAGAGCACTTCATAACCTGGCTCCCCTGGTCCCCTCTTTCTCCACTTCCTGCCTCCAGCATACAGTGAATGAATAAATTTGCCCATCCTTCAAACACACTCTGCCTTTGCAATATTCTCCACTTTGCACCTGATGGTATTTGTTACCTGGATCCCTCCTTTTGCTTCCCTCCCATAGACTTTATAGTCCAGCCCAAGCAACATATTCCCTGTGATCCCTTCCCTGACTCATTCCTCCCACTGGTTATGCTTTAAAAAGTTAATACATGGTATTACCATGTTGTGTTATAATTTACTGTTTAAATATATAACTGTCTCCTAGTAGGCTGTAGGCTCCTTAAGGGCAGGGACAATGCCTATTTTTCCTTCTTTGTTAATATAACGTTTTAAAAATGACTGAAAAATGATATATAACAAACAAGGGCAAATAAGATCTCTATCCTACTTTTATATTTATTTACTCTGATGATTAGTTTGTCTAATGCTTTTTTCTTTTTTGAGACGGAGTTTTTCTCTTGTCACCCAGGCTAGAGTGCAGTGGCACAATCTCAGCTCTCTGAACCTCCGCCTCCCGGGTTCAAGTGATTCTCGGGCCTCAGCCTCCTGAGTAGCTGATACTGCAAGTGCCCACCACCATGCCGGGCTAATTTTTGTATTTTTAGTAGAGGCAGGGTTTCACCATGCTGGTCGGGCTTGTCTCGAACTCCTGACTTCAGGTGATCTACCCTCCTCGGCCTCTCAAAGTGCTGGGATTACAGGTGGGAGCCACCGCACCTGGCCATGCACATTTTATAGGATAAAGAAAGAAAAAATTATTTTTGTTTAAAGACTTTTTTTTTACCTTGTTTAGCAGTCAAACATTAAACACCATGTTTTTCAGAAGAGAATTCTGTTGTAACATGTTTTATACGTCTTTGAAAAATATGGAAAGAAGAATACAGAACAGAGCAAAGGAAAAATAAAAATCACATATAATGCTGCTATCTAAAGATAACCTCTGTTAATATTTTTATACTTGTCCCTTATTTATGTATGTAGATACATATGTATAGGTAGATTGGTTTTGATTTAGGGCATGTGTTTTTTACTGTTTTGCAATCTGCCTTTCACACAACTATTACTTGTATTTTAATGAATGAGTAAATACATAAGTGAACAAAAAAGAAGCAGAGTTCCTAATCTTTGAGTGTGATGTCAAAAGGAGCACGATGTCTGCTTGTGCTTTGGTCCCTTCGTTGTAGATAACCATATATACAACTAGATGAATCATAGATCTGACCCAATGTAGAGTTTTTTGTTTTTAACCTATTATAAATGCTGTAAAGAGATCATGCATGTCTGAAAGAAACAAAACGTTTTTGGGTTAAAAGAGACTGTCATCAGCTCATTGCACTAACGCTGCTGTGGATCTCTGACTGGGATGTTATATCTAACCTGTGGTGCTTCTCCTTGCCCAGGGCTGGCAGCTCTTGGCACTCTGCGTTGGACTCTTCCTTCCCCATCATCCTTTCCTGTGGCTCCTCAGGCTTCACCTAAAGAGGAATGCAGATTCCAGGTGTGCAGAATACTAGCCAGCTGAACTGCTTATGTGGTCTCTGAAAGTCTACGAAAAATCATAAGTATTTAATGACTTGCCAGGTACATTTTCAGAAGAATGTATGAAACAAATATTGGTACAGGAAGCCTTTGGTTTTCATTGATGTAGAGATTGGAAAGTATTCCTTTGTTATGTTACCTCCTACAGAAGATTGCAATAAATGCTTGAAAAACTGACAGAGAATATTTTTAAGTGAAAAGTGTATGTGCATTTCAAGTATGAATGACTTAGCATTAGTAAGTATTCATTCAATAAAAGCAACTATTTTGTTTCCTTAGTTTTCCCTTTTACTATTTTTCTCCACATTGAATTATTTTATGTGGAAAATTTCTCCCATGGTCTTCCCTCCTTTTCTAACTGTATGTATTTGAATTACTTCAGAATTGTTACTCCTTTGACAAAGACATTTAAAGTTCAACTTCCAGAATGGCTTTCTTACAGTGGGGCCCAGGTCACTCAGCCAAGGCTTATCCAGGGTCATTTTGTCCACCAAGAGGCTTGTGTTAGGTTGCTTAAATAAACTCTTGGACTAAAACAAACACAGTAAAACAAACAAACAACAACAACAACAAAAACCCAACTTGGAAGCAATAGGAAAATATTCTACAGTTCATAATACATTTTGGGGCCTCTGTGATCAAGGTCATCTGTGATCAAAGTCATGTTATTTCCGTTGCAGTCACTGAGGAGCCCCCAGATCAAGATCTGCCTACAGGGCACTTGAATACAAACATGTTTTATAGGTGCTTGAATAAGCCATAAAATTTATATATAACAAATAAGGGCAAATAAAATCTCTATCCAACTTCTACATTTATTTACTCTAATGAGTTTGTCTGATGCTTAACATTTTTTAACAAATGCAGTGTTCTGTAGAATAAAGAAAAAATATTTTTGTTTGAAGACTTTTTTTTTTTTTTTTTTTTTGGAGACAGGGTCTCACTCTGTCACCTAGGCCAGAGTACAATGGCACATTCTTGGCTCACTGCAAACTCCACCACCAAGGTTGAAGCAATTCTCCTGCCTCAGCCTCCCAGGTAGCTGGGACTACAGGCATGTGCAACCACACCTGGCTAATTTTTTGTATTTTTAATAGAGACAGGGTTTCACCATGTTGACCAGGCTGGTCTTGAACTCCTGACCTCAGGTGATCTGCCCACCTTGGCCTCCCAAAGTGTTGGGATTACAGGCATGAGCCACCGCTGCTACCTAAAGATAACTTCTGTTAATATTTTTTTACTTGTATAATATTTTTATACTTGTATACTTAGCAGTCAAGCATTAACCACCATGTTCTTCAGAAGAGAATTCTGCTGTAACATGTTTTTATAAGTTAACTCTCTACTATTCTTCATGCAATTGCTTTTTTTATATTTGTTGATATTAAATCACTGTATATTGACTTACAACTGGTAATTTTAAAGTCAGCTTATGACTATGATAATACAGTAAAGATGAAGAGTGCTTTGTGGGGACATTTGAGTCAGGCAATTGCAAACATAAAGAGGCTGGAATTTGAGAAAAGTTACAGCAGTTTAGTATTATTCGAAAAAAAGTTGCTGTTGAAACTACAAGGGATGCTTTCTTAATGGTTGCATATATTAGGTTGTCAATTAAATTTATTCTTAGATTTTATCTTAAGTTTTGTATTACAGGACAGAATTTGGAAAATATGCCATTTACTGCCAGAGATGTGTAGAAAGAACGCAACAAAATGGTGACAGAGAAGCAAGACCCTCAAGGATGGAAATTCTTTCAACTCTTCTCCGAAACCCTTATCACCATTCTTTGCCCTTTAGTATACCTGTGCACTTCATGAATGGGATATACCAGGTAGGTTTCCTGATGAAAATATGCTTAGCCAACAAGCCTGTGTACAAACTCTGTTATAGGGAACAGGGACTTCTCTGCCTACTTTTATCAGCACCTGGCAGTGATAAACATGCAAATATTTTAGACTTACTATCAGAAGAGCTGAGTTTTGAAACAGTTTTGCTACAAAGGATTCACACTAATAACAAATCTATATTGAACCGAATAAGTGATGGGCTTCGCTACCATTATGATTCTGATGGAGAGAAAATAAAAGACACTTTGGTTGGGGCTTTCTCCCATCAGTACACCTGCTAGGTGTGGAAATAATTAGTGATACTGGGTTTAGTTCCTTTTAAAATCTCCAAATCTCAGAAATTATCTGGGAAAACTTCACTAGGCCCTTCCAGTTCTCAGATCTAGATGCTTGCTTATTAATTGAAGCAAACATGTTCCCAAACTAGCAATTAGTCTTTGTAGCCATACGCCTTTTATCACAGAAATCAGACACTTAACTGCCTATTAAGGAAACAAACATTAAATACATAAAAGTGTTCATTTATTTAAATGTATTTCTTGTTTATATTCTTCCATTTGATTAAAGATAGCATATTGTACTATAGTTCTTGGTTTGCTTCTAATGGGTAAGCATCATATCTTTGCAAAATATGTATAGCTATCAATTAATCATTCGATTTTGGATTCATGTCTGTTGGCTGAAGCTGAGATTTTTGATTCTTCAGCAAGGTGATTGCTGAGGTAACCTTACTGATTTTCTCCAGAGGAGCTTTGGGAAAAAAAAGTTAAAGGACCTAGAAAAATATGTGTTATCATTAATCATGCATCAAGTACATTCCGTTTTATCCTTGAAATCTCAGTTTGAAACTATATATTTCTTATTAAGAGAACCGCTTTGTTATTTCTGTCTAGGTAGTCGGTTTTGATGCATCCACCACAGTGGAAGAATTTTTGAATACTTTGAACCAGGACACAGGAATGAGGAAACCAGCACAGTCTGGATTTGCATTGTTCACAGACGATCCTTCTGGCAGAGATTTAGAGCATTGTCTTCAAGGAAACATCAAGGTGAAGCCAAGTCCTTTTTGGGAACCAAGCCCAGAGAATAGCAAAGAAGCTACTCTTTACAAGAAGAGTAAACTTTGCAAGAAGTTTAGTTCAGGAGTTTTCCAAAAATTAAAGCAATCTAATCTCCATGATAAGAAAAAAAAATGCAGGACTTTGTTGAACCCATGGAATTCTTAATACACAATCTCAACACATACACACTCCATATTAAAGAGAGTAAAAATGTTAGTAATGGTAATGATACTCTAAATATTAGGATAATAAGGGTAGGTATGTACAAGCTCTAATAAAATGGCTTTCCATTTTTTTCATTTATTCAGCAATACTGACTGAACTACTTTATTGTATCCCAGTGGCTGGCTGGACTCTGTAGGAAATACAAAAGGACCAGAAATAGTCCCTGCCCACAGTGAACTTAAAACCTGCTTAGGGAAGAGCAGCCTTATACACAGATAACCTTGAACTAGGGTTGGAAATGATAAAAGTTTTAAGAGTGCTATGAACTTTGCACAGAAAGAGAGAGATTAAGTTCAGCATTGGGAATTAGGGAAGGCCTGAGCTGGAAATGAAAAATGGTTTAGGAAACAGACCTGTGGCCTGGCACAATGGCTCACACCTGTAATCCCAGCACTTAGGGAGGCTGGGGCAGGTAGATCATTTGAGGCCCGAAGTTTGTGACCAGCCTGGGCAGCACAGCAAAAACCTGTCTCTACTAAAAATACGAAAAATAGCCCCGTGTGGTGGTGCACACTTGTAGTCCCAGCTACTCTGGAGGCTGATGCACTAGAATCACTTGAGCCCATGAGGTTGAGGCTGCAGTGAGCCATGATCACGCCACTGCACTCCAGCCTAGGCAACAGAGCAAGACTCTATCTCAAAAAAAAAAAAAAAGAAAGAAAGAAAAAGAAAAGAAGACAGACCTGTGGAAATGAAGAGGGAGAGATTTTAAAAGAGTCTTTTCTAGATCATAGTAAAATAACTTTAATAGAGCTTCCATTTAGTAATGACAATAATTAGAAATAGAGAATTAGGCCAGGCACAGTGGCTTATGCCTGTGATCCCAGCACCTTGACAGGCCAAAGTGGGTGGATCGTTTGAGGTCAGGAACTTGAGACTAGCTTGACCAGCATGGAGAAACCCTGTCTCTACTAAAAATACAAAAAAATTAGCCGGGCATGGTGGTGGGCGTCTATAGTCTCAGCTACTTGGGAGGGTGAGATAGGAGAATCACTTGAACCCAGGAGGCAGAGGTTATAGTGAGCCAAGATCACACCACTGCACTCCAGCCTGGACGACAGAGTAAAACTCCATCTCAATAAAAAGCAAAAAAAATAGAATTATAGAACCACAAGGGACCTTAGAGAAACAAACAGTGCACTTACTTTGCAAATGAGAAAACTGAGGCCTAGAGAAGGAAAAATCAAATAGCTAGACCTGGGTCTAGACCCTTTCCATAAATGTTATTTCAGATTTCTTTTGCATAACGTCAGGTATTACAATCTTTTTGAACTCAGAAGGTGAAAAAGTTGCTTCTTCAGTGACCAAATCATGAAAAAATCCCTGGAATCTTCTTCAGTTTCAGGCAGTCGTGCATTAAGATTCCTTTTTGAGTAAAAAATGCATGGCCACAGTCCAAAGTTAATGTGTGTCCAAAAGGATAAGTGGACCAAAGAGCAATTTATAATTACATCCTAAACTCAGAGCCGCACGGACACTGAAAACAAAAAGCTTGAGTATGTTTGGTTTGATCATATTAATTGAAAAATTTCAGTCTACAGACATACTTGTCTTCAAGAAATGTTGACTTGAAAAGTCTTGTAAATCTCAGTTTCCCACGTTCTTTCTAGATTTGTGACATTATTTCCAAATGGGAACAGGCTTCCAAAGAACAGCAGCCTGGAAAATGTGAAGGTACAAGGACTGTTCGTCTAACATACAAAAACAGGTGTGTAATACTGTGTCCAGATGCCAAAGTATGAGTATACAGTATGTTCAAATCATGCACCTACTGTTTAGTTTTCTGTTCAATAGCCTTAAAATTATTTATTTTTAAGTTTGTGTTTCTATAAATGATAACTCTGTTTCTATAGGAAAAAAACCTTGTCACATAAAATTTTGTTTCTAATTCTAGTCTCTTAATGTCATAAATAATTATACTTTATAAAAATATGCCTTTAAACAAAGATTAGAAACACTAGATCTCAGCCAAGCATGGTGGTTCGCTCCTGTAATCCTTTGGGAGGCCAAGGTGGGCAGATCATCTGAGGTCAGGAGTTTGAGACCAGCCTAGCCAACATGGCAAAACCCCACCTCTACTAAAAATACAAAAATTAGCCAGGCATGTTGGTGTGTGCCTGTAGTCCCAGCTACTCAGACAGCTGAGGTGGGAGAATCACCTGAGCCCAGGAGGTCGAGACTGCAGTGAACCGTGATTGTGCCACTGCACTCCACAGTCCAGCCTGGGCAACAGAGTGAGACCCTGCCTCAAAACAAACAAACAAAAAATACACACACACACAAGCAGAAAAACTACAGAAAAAAATAGCTGCTCTTAGAGTAGTTGATACAAGGATGCATTTTTCACTCTCATAATTTCCTTTAACAATATTATTCCATTTTTCATAAAGACTGAATACTTAAATACCTACTACAGATCTGTAGTAAGAAGAGATATCTGTGTTTGCCTCAGTCTTTTGGAAGTCATATATTCTTTATATTCATATTTATTCCTTCTCAGTCTTTCATATTCTCTCTCTCTCTCTCTCTCTCTCTCTCTCGGTGTTCACTGAGCTTCAACTATAAGCCCATCACTTAGCTAGATGCTATGAGTAAAATTGTAATAAAGACAGACAAACCCAGTCCTTGATCTTTTGGAATCTACGGATTAGTGAAGAGGACTGTTGTTGGGCATATCCTCACTCTAATGAATGTGGGATGATACAGTAAGTTCTCTGAAGGAAGAGAGAGGTATAGTAAGAGCACACAACAGTGAGCCCGACCTAGACGGGAGACCTCGGGAGGCTTCTCTGAGGAAATGATGTTTATGCTAAGTTCAGAAAGAGATGGGAGTGGGAACATCAAAATGCATGGAAAAGAATATTCAAAGGCCTGTAGAGGGAGGCTGCTCAGCTTGTGTCAGGAGTTGAGAAAATGCCAGAGAGCCGGAGCACACACCTTCTTTACAGATAAAATGGTAACATACCTTGGCATGGAGTCAGGAACTAGATTTCCTTTCTTTCTTTTTAAATATTTTCATTTCTTTCATGTATTAGCAGAAGGTAGTACTTAATAAACACTGTTAACTGACCAGCTCCCATTAATTATACCAAAATAATGGTATTTTGCTGGTTTTATTTGAATCTTGTATCCTGTAAATTAAGGAATCTGTAAAATGTCATATCCAGAGCCTGGTGGAATTATTGGAGTAGTACTCAAAGACCTCTTTTTGGAAGATGTTCAGACTTAAAATTGGAATGTAAGAATTGAAGGCACTATATAACATAAAGAATTTAATAGCCTTTGATCCACTTAAAAATTTCTTTTTCTAATAGTCTATCCCACAGAAATACCCAGATAAGTGGGCAGAGTACTCCAGTATATCCCAGTATCTTCCTTTTTTTTTCCACATTTTTATCATATTCTTTGTCATTTTTTGTGTGAAAAATTTGAGACAGAAACTTACATGTTTATTAATAGGGAGAACAGTTAAATAAGTATGGCACATTCATAGTTTGGACTCTTCTCTCATGCAGTTGGCCACTTAAAGGGCCACCCAGTATTTGAACAGGCTCCATTGATCTGAATAAATGGTGATTGTGAACACTGGAGCTTCTTTATTCAGGGGCTTATGAGCTGTGATGATTTGCTAGCGGTTCAAGTAACAAGAAGGTGACTATTAAGCTTTAGTATCTGAAGTTTTAAAATCATACATTCCTAGAGATAAGCAATATTGCATAAATATTGGAAATCTAATAGGCTTCACCCCTGGAGGGATCTGTTTCCCTTGAGGGCAACCTTTATCAATGTATCAATGGCCCTTTGGTGACTGGCAAGTGTAGCAGGCTAGAAGACTTGACCCTTCTAGATGATTGTTGTAGTTCTGTTTAATGTGGAACAATAGTTCCCAGCAGGTGCCCCACGCTAGCAGCCTCAGGACCACATGGAACGTATTAGAAATGCAAATCATGAGGCCCCACTTCAGACCCACTGAGTCAGAATTTCTGGGGGTGAAGCCCAGGAGTCTGTGTTTTGACAGCTCTCCAGATAATTCTTACACATGTTGGGCTTTGAGAAGCCTTGACCTAAAGGTCCTCATCGCTGCCCCTGCCTCTTTGCCTTAGCCTTTATAGAAGGAACCAGCTCCTGGACCTGGCCTGCCAGAGACCATTATGCAGAAGGGGTTCAGGCATTCTCACTTGGCTTTGTTGGAACCAAGCGGAGCGACCTTTGTGTCCAGGACTATTCCTAATCATCCAAACCTTATGAATGCTTAATACATACCAACTCTGATTGTGATGGCTATGATTGGAACTGAAGTGAAATTTGGGTAAATGGAGAAAGATGATATGAAAGACAGATAATAATAATGCTTCAAGTTTAAAAACACCGCAAGGAAGGACAAAGAGAGTCGTGGATAAAAATTTTTTGGTTGACAATTGGTTGAGCTTATCCAAAGACCTGGAATCAGTAGAAAGGAATGTCTGGGCTGTGATGAGAGGTTGTGGAGCCTCGCTTCAAGTTGTTCTGCCTTTCTAGACAAAACCAATGTATTTCTTAAGTCTCATGACTCCCTAAAATGTATAACATCCAGCGGCACCCTGATCGGCTTGGGCACATTTTCTCAGGACCCCCTGAGGTCTGTGTCACAAGCCATGGTCACTCATATTTGGCTCAGAATAAATCTCTTCAAACTTTTTTTTTAAAAGAGAGTTGTGAATAAAGATCATTACCTTGTTTAAAGATAAAGCCCTCATGACAATGTCTTTGACATCAGGAAAAAAAGTAACTCAACTGAAAGGTTTGATTTTTAACAGAACTCTGAAATGGCTGGATAGCCACAGCTATGAGAAAGTACTATGTTTCTGAACATGGCCATGCTTTGCATGTGTTTATAAGTAGCTTAGACAATGAGCCCTAATTTCTAGTGATAAAGTTAGGAGGGGACCTTGCTATGACCTGTCACACAGCCAAGCACTTGATTCTTCATCTGCCAAGCAGCACGGTAATAAACAAAGCTAAAATATCAGTTCTCTTGGAATTTTAAATTGATACTTGGCAAGTGATGGAATTTTAATTATTTTGATTCAGGTATGAAAGATCTAATTAATAGGTTTTGAACCTGTTCTTATAGACAAACATTGGCAACTAACATTTAAATTCTATTCATAGTTAAACTTCTTATTTAATCTGATTTCTCACTGTGTCTTTGAAGCTGTAAGAGTCAAGGCATGTTTTTAACAAAACAAAATTGGCCACAGCCAAGAAGTTTAAGCCAAGAAATGGAATTTATCCCATTTCTCCTAGCTATGTTCACACTAAAAAAAAAATTCCAGGATCAAGAGACTCTCATGTGGGCCAGGTGCAGTGGCTCATGCCTGTAATCCTAGCACTTTGGGATCTGAGGCAGGCAGATCACCAGAGGTCAGGTGTTCAAGACCAGCCTGGCCAACATGATGAAACCCTGTCTCAACTAGAAATAGAAAAATTAGCCAGGTGTGGTGGCACATCCTGTAGTCCCAGTTACATAGGAGGCTGAGGCAGAAGAATCGCTTGAACCCAGCAGGCAAGTGAGCCAAGATTGTGCCACTGCACTTCAGTCTGGGTGACAGAGGGAGACCCCCATCTCAAAAAAAAAGAGAGACTCCTATGATTCCAAAGACCTCTGTAGAATACTACCATTAGTCCTACTAGCCCACATTTGTTGAACATTTACCTAACATCAGGCCCTATTCTGAACTCTTTGAGTGCATTTTTATATCATCCTTACAACCTTATGAGGTACTGTTATTATGTCCATCTCACAGATGAGGTAACTGAAGCTTCAGAGAGTTAAGTCACTTGCCTAAGACTATGGAAAGGGAATTCTTCAGGCTTTTTTGGCAAATAATTCCTGTACTCAGCAATTCTCACATACCATTTATTTGTCCATTCATGCAGTCTATCAGTGCCAAACCTTGTTTGAAGCCTTGTGAATTCCAAGGTGAATAGAACTTCCTTACCCTTCAGAATCTTACAGTTTATAGGGAGAGGCAGACATGAAGTCTTAGCAGTGCAATCAGTGCTGTTACAGGAAGAATGTAGCACAGGAGTGAAGAACACGGGCTCTGGAGACAGACTGCCTGGGTTAGAATCCTGGCTCTACCACTTACCATGTGGCCCTGAGCAAGTCACTTAACATCTCTGTTCCTCAGGTACCCTGTAAGTGAAATGGAGGTCAAAATGATTCCCACCTTTAGGGTTGTCTGAAGGATTAAGTGTTGGCAATTGTAAAGCACTTGATTCAGAGTCTGCCACACAGTAAATTCTTCCTAGGTATTTGCCATTACCATGAATATTATGTGTATGTACAAGAGGTTGTAGGGACATAGAGGAAGACTTTGCAGAGTGGTGTCTTCTAAGCAGATGACTGGCGGTTGGATGCCACTGAGGCAGGAAGAGAACAATGGCAGTTTTAGTAGAGTATAATCAGTAGACCATGGTGGACTGAGGAGTAAAGGAAGGGTAAATGGAGAGAGATTGCATGCTGTCCCCCCAGTAAGCTTACAAAAGGATGGAAAGGGCAACAGTGCTTCCCATAAATGCTCTGAAGAATGAATCTGGAGCCAGTTGAGGGCAAGCAAAAGGATTACCCAGCAGTGCTGAGAGCCTTGCTGAATTTGGAAGCAGCGTGTTTGTGTAGCTGTACTGGTCCACAGTGATGTGATTTCTATCCAACAGTATTCAGCTTCCTGGATGTCCAGTGAGGAGGTAGAGATTTGGGAATACCTCTGTGATCTAATCCAAGACTTGCCTGCTGTCATAGAAGCCCATTCTGTCTGCTCTAGGCTGTTTTAGGATTTGGAAACAGCTGAAAGCTAGCCATATTGTGAGAGGCTTAGATCACATTCCTCTAGTGCCTTTCCTATTCAGGCTCCATGGATTTGACTTTTATGACTTCTTGGGTCATTTTTGTTCCTCTTCAAATTGTTCCCAAATCCCTGGATAGCTGTTGGAGCCCAAACTGTTTCATTAGGGATTTGAGCCAATGGTTCGTATCCAGTATTGTTTCTCTCTCTCTCTCTCTCTCTGTTTTTTTCTAATGATGCTTCCTTTTCCGCTCTCAGGTTCAATCGTGTTGCATGCTGGGAATGACAGAAAAGGCACTTACGCTCTTCTTGCCTGTAGCCATTTGGTTTTTTTTCTCCCCCATCCATATTACCAAATCTTCCAGTGGTGACACTTAGCTAAACTCCAGCAGATTACAGTGATGAGTATGCTATACTTCCTGACTTCAAGTAGGGAAAATAAGTTATGTTCACAAATGTAAGCATGCCAAAGGGGAAGGCTTTCATCTTAAACTTTCTGCTCTTTGTTTTATGTGACTTTGCTGATAACATTTTGGATTTGGCATCTGTTTCTATTGCCCAGCTATATTCTACTACCAGCTTAAGAATCCTGCATTATTTGTCACCATATAGTCATCATAGATTAAAATGGAGCTCAGGATTTTTCTGATTTGTAAACTAGGTAGAGAGGAAAGAATGATTAGAATCATGGGGTAGGAGGAGCTCTTCAAAGTACCCCCCACCCATGCTTGCCCAGAGATTCAAATCTGCTGCCCTCTCCTTCCCTGCTATTTGACATAATTCCTGGGAGAGATACTGTAAATGATAGGGGTTCATTCTCTCCCTCAAGTGTATGGGCGGAGTTGGAGGGGGAAGGCTGAAAATGCAATTTATAGCCAATTAAGCACATATGTAACAGCTACTGTATCTAAATCTCTCTTTTCCAACCACTGTGATGTCATGGCAGTGTTTAGGTGGGTCAAGATGTTGCTCACCCACCCCATTGTCACAGCATTTAGAGCAGTTAGAGCACCTGTGCCTGAACTGCAGCCTGAAGTTAGAGCCCCACAAATCTCACATATGAATAAATGACTCAGTGAATAAATAAAGAGAATCACTGATTTGATGAAGACCCCCTAGGCAGAAAAAAGCCATGTTGTGTTTCAGTGAGTAATAGTGATAACATGTAAACTATTTTTGAGCCCCTAAAGCTGCTTATCAGATTGTGTCCAAAAAGTCAAAACACACTTAAATATATGAATATTATCTTTTAGATTCCCAGAGAAAACTCACCCTCTCCCCACACTTATTTGATGTTGATTTGGGGGGTGATTTTGAGTTGAAACCTTCATTTCCTTTTCCCTGATGTGTCCAAGGTATTCAGGAAGGATCGTGAGGGTTTTGAAGGCTGGGTTTACACAGCCCATTGAAATAAAGGCCTTATATCATACATTCCTTGCAAGAGAGGGCATATTTAATTTTCCTTGATGTCTTGGGTCCTTCCTCAGTAACATTTAAGGATTAGGTATTTCAGGGCATAAAAAATGCTTCATCCCTTTACTTCTATCTTACATAGTTTTATTTATATTTAAAGCGGATTTCTTAAAAGCACCATATGGTTACGTTTTATATTTTATACACGCCAACAATCTATCTTTTCATCGGTATATTTAGACAATTGACATTTAATGTGATTCAACCTCACTTCTAGCTGTTTCTCAGCCTCAACCTCAAAGCAATTTTCCTTATTTTGCTGAAAGTACTAAATAGAACAGAAACAGAAGTCACTGACAGTAATGGTCTAAGTTCATACCACTTAGAGTACTATGTTAAAACAACCCATTTCAGTCCTCTGGATTTATCTTTATTCCTTTGTAAGAATATAATTTAATGAGAAATTTACTCTTTTTTTACAGACTATATTTCTCAATACAAGCTCGTGAAGAGACTGATAGAGAAAAGTTGCTGTTAATGTATCAGACAAATGATCAAATAATAAATGGACTTTTTCCTCTGAACAAGGATCTGGCATTAGAAATGGCAGCTCTTTTAGCTCAGGTAACTTCCATGTTATATAGATTAATATATTGAAATAATAAGATGCTAATTGCTACACTGAATTAAATATAAAACAGTATACCTTCAGTAATTCTGTAAATTCAGTTTGCTATGATTAGCACCTTAAAAATTACCGGCACTGTAATTACAGTTTGCCTCTAAACTCCTGACAGTTGCAATGTTGTAGAATGAGACAGTATTCCATAAAGAGAACCCAGTTTCTTAATTACCTTGAAAATATACCTCTAGGCTTTGCATTTAATAAAGGAATTGGAGTGTAGAGCTGTGGGGTTGAAGATGTCATGCTGAAATCGCTTGGTAGTCTAATAGGAATAAGTCCTTGAAAAGGCTAGAGCACTTTCTCTTTTTTACCTATTATATCAGTTAGGATTAAGTTCAGCCTTCTACACACACACACACACACACACACACACACACACACACGTACACACACAGACACACAGATTAATAGTGACTTAATCAGAATAGAGGTATATTTAGCTCTCACATAGAGAGAGAGGCATCCTGGCACCTCTGTAAAGCATTAGGGGCATGGGCTTTATCTTCTTCTCCCTTCTGCTGTCCCTAGGGTATCATCATCATGGTCCTGGGAGTCTGAGAGCTCCAGCTAACATCAATGTTCCAGGCCTCAGGATGGGGGAAGGGCTGAAAAGGGCATATGCCCTCCCTCATTTGAGAAAACATCTCAGCAGCTACATAGAACACTTCCATTCATGTCTCTCCGGTCAGAATTTAGTCACATGGCCTTGCCTACTACCTACAAGGGAGTCTGGGGAATGTGGTCTTAGAGGGGTGGCAGTGTGACAAGCTAAATTTAAGGTTTTTCTTACTTAAGAAGAAGGAGAGAATGGTCAAAAAACGCAACTCATAGTCTCAACCACACGTGAGTCTTTGCCTAGGTTAATTAAGGAAAAATGTTAAAGAAAATCTGTGATATGGCATCCGGACCAAGGCTTAGATTCCCTAGGGTCTTAGGTCTGTGGCCCCTCACGCTACTCTGTATCCCAGGACATCCCAGTCGTTCTTCTTATTTTATGCACCACCTTTGCCAATGAGTTCCAGATCTTTTCTCTTCAGTTCATAGCTCTTTTATGGGCTCCTTAATTTTTTTTTTTTTTTTTTTTTTTTTTTTTTTTTTTTTCTGAGATAGAGTTTACCCCTTTTGCCCAGGCTGGAGTGAAGTGGCACAATCTCAGCTCAGTGCGACCTATGCCTACCAGGTTCAAGCAGTTCTCCTGCCTCAGCCTCCCAAGTAGCTGGGATTATAGGAACCCGCCACCATACTCGCCTAATTTTTGTATTTTAGTAGAGACAAGGTTTTGTCATGTTGGCCAGGCTAGTCTCAAACTCCTGACCTCAAGCAATCCACCTGCCTCGGCCTCCCAAAGTGCTAGGATTATGGGCATGAGCTGCTGCAGCCAGCCAAAATCAATATATTGAAAACTGAACTAATCATCATCCCTTCTCTGTCTTCACATTCCGTTTCCTTTTTATGATAATGTCTCCACCCAGTCCCTCAAGCAAGCTTCAAACCCGGGAATCCTCATGATTCTTCCCTGGCTTTGGCCCTTTCCCACCAGTCACCACATCCTGCGAATGTGAACTCTTAGGGATGTTTTACTCTATTCTGTCCTCTGGATGCTGACTCCTGTTGCTAAGGTTCGGATCATTGTCCCCTGCTGCCTGCCGTCCTGCAGCAGGCTCCTAAGTAGTATGCCTTTCTCTGGTCTGGTCCCTCACAAATTTATCCTTTACACAAATGCTAGAGGGATGTTTTCCACTTATCTATTGCTACATAACAAATGACTCCAAAACTCAGCTAGTTAAGACAGTAATTTAGGCAGAGATGTGAAGGGACAGTGTGTGTCTCTGCTTCAGGTGGTATCAGCTGACATAGCTTGAGACCCAGTTGTCGCTTTACGGCTGAGGGCTGGAATCATTTGAAGGCTCGTTCACTCGTTTCTATTGACTGATTGATGCTGGCTGTTTGTGGGGACTTCTGCTGGGACTGTCAGCTGGAGCCCCTTATACATGGTCCCTTCATGTATATGACTGCTTGTGCTTCCTCCAAGTATGGTGAATGGGTGACAGGAGCAATGTCCCAGAAGACAGACAAGAAGTGGAAGCTGCTGTTTTCTTAAGGGCTGAGCCTGGAAATTGGCACAATGTCACCTGTGCATGGAGGTTTATTAGGCAGCACTAGAAACTGGGATAGAGACACAGCAAAATGTGAATCTAGCTCTGTCATTCCCTTTTTACATGCAAGCACTTTCATGAGCTGAACTCTGCCTGCCTCTCCAGCCTCAACTTTCCCTTTATACTCCCTACCTTGAACTTCATGCTCCAATAAAGTGTAAACTGTGGTTCCATGCACAACTCCCTGCCTAGTGTATGGTTCACTTTTTTTTTTTTTTTTACTTTTTGACTTTTTCTCCATCTATTTTTTTTTTTGGTTCACTTTTTTTTTTTTTTTTGCCTCTTGTGATTGACTAGTTTGTGTCCTTTGCCTGGATCATCTCTACCCCATCCATTCACCTGTTAACCTCATCATATCCTTTCCTTTACATCATAGGTATCATTTATTCCAGGAAACCTTCCTGAATCCTGTCTGGGTGGGTTAAATGTCCCTCTTGGGGTTTCTGTAATGTTCGATTGCTATCCTGACCTCAGTGGTTTATAATCATTGATTTATGTTTCTGCTTTTTACCACTGACTGCAGCCTCCCTGAGGCCCAGGCCTGTTCATGTTCATCTTTGTCTCTAGCACAGCTTTATACACAGTCCTTTCTCCATAACTGTTCTTACAGGAATGAATAGTTGATAATTTAGTTGATATTTTTAAAAAAATTTTTTTATGAGATGGGGTCTTGCTATGTATGTTACCCAGGCGTGTCTTGAACTCCTGGGCTTAAGTGATCCTCCCACCTTGGCCTCCCAAAGTGCTGGGATTACAGGCATGAGCCACCACACTCGGCCAACTTTTAAAATAAGGTTATGATCATCTGGACTTTATTGCATTAGCGCAACGCTAAGTGTTCTTCTACAAGTGATAAAAACCTGAGGAAAAGAGAAATAGGGCACATTTTTCTTCGTATTAGGATTGGGAATGATTTACTATCACTTGCCATTCTAGGGCTTAGCCTTTCTCAAGGCACAGATTATCTGTTAAAATCACTCTCATTTTTACTAAAATTCAACTTAGTCTTCTTACTTTAACTTTTAATTTTGTGAAGACAGGTTTTACAAGAAAAATTATAATATACTTTGGAGATATGTACTTCTAACATTTTTAGATGAGTTTGAGGAAGGGGTAGAAAGATAAGACCACAAGCCAAGAAAATTCTGAGCACATTACTAACTTGGAAAGTATAATCTCCTCATCTGTGAAAGGAAAATATATGCCTCTGATGTCTCTTCCTCAGAGTAGTTTAGTAAAGATAAATGAAATATGCTAAATAGATCAGAGCTCTGCAGAAGAATTATTTCTGTTGTAGATTCAAATATATGTAGGCTCTTGTTGATATTCTCTGTCTTTATTATGAAATTGCAGCTGATTCTTAATTATTGTACATAGTGTCTAGTAAGGCATGGTGTTCATGTAGAGCATGTTAAGGATTATCTGAGTTGATTTTCTGTAATTCTCCATTTATTGTATTTATTCTATGCCACATAATATGTCAGCTGCCAGGGAGCTTGGACATGCCACTAAAGGCTGCCCTAAAAGGCAAGGTTGCCTTGATTGGTCTCCTATTGGAATGCAATGATGTGATCTCAGCTCATTGCAACCTCCACGTCCTGGTTTCAAATGATTCTCTTGCCTCAGCCTCCTGAGTAACTGGGATTACAGGTGCCTGCCACCATGCCCAGCTATTTTTTAAAAAATATTTACTATAATATATTTTTTATATTTAGTATTAAAAATACAAAATATAAAAAATATATTATAGTAAATATTTATATTTAGTATTAAAAATACTAAATATAAAAAATATAATAAATATTTTTTAACAAATATATATATTTGTTTTTGTATATTTAGTAGAGACAGAGTTTCACCATGTTGGGCCAGGCTGGTCTCGAACTGCTGAACTCAAGTGATCTGCCCACCTCAGCCTCCCAAAGTGTTGAGATTACAGGCATGAGCCACTGTGCCCAGCTTCCTATTTTTTTTTTAAACTATTGTTTGTTGGACTGTCGTATCCTTGGAGATTGAATCCGATGTCAGGTTTCACAGGTAGCTGTGGTGAATGCTACCTGGTGAGGTGGGGACAAGGCATAGCTTGCTCTGGGGGAGGGATTTCAGTATGATCGAAGAGCTGGTGGACAACTTTATTAGGGGTGAAGAAATTTGGAAGGATACTTGACTAGGTAGGAGATGATGGAGATTGATAGAAACAAGGAAAAATGAAGAATGGGAGCTGAACAGCAAAATCAACCCAAGTAACCAGCGAGAAAGAAACTAGGTCAAAGAACCTAGGAAGTTATAAGAATAGGCTGTAAGGGCAAAGCTCAGCTGAGGACTTTAGACAGTAACTGATCAAATTAGGAACTGGAAAACAGGAGCCCCAGGGTGGGAGTTCTCAGAAGCTGGTACTGCTGACAGCTTAACTAAGGAATAGGGTCCTTTTGAGATGCAGACCTGGTGCTTTCTATGAGACCATTCTAGTTTTGATGGAACCCTTAATCCACTTGTTGGGGAATGCTATAGATTATGATGTTAGTGATCAGTAGGACATTCACCTGAATGTCCCCTATCCTGCCTTCCTCCCTGAACCCTCTTTGGTATCCTATACAAGCCACCTGACACAGTTTATCACAAGAATTTATGTCTCTGTCTTCTCTACTAGATAATAAAGTCTTTGAGGGTAGGGACTATGCTTAGCATTTTCCTTTCTCACATCGCTCAGCACAGTGCCTGACTTATAATGGGGACTCAGTATAGGTTTGGGTGAAGGGATGAATAAGTGAGTTCATGGAGAGATGGGTGGGTGGATAGTTAGTTGGGTGGATTGAAGATGGCATCTCTGCAGCCTATTAATAGAGATGAAAGCTAAACATTCTTTCATTAAGGGATAAAGTGGAATGAAGGACTCTATTCCCAGGATTAATACTAGCAGAATGAGAGGATGAACACATAACATTTATGGAGAAAATCTAGGAACAAAGTAATGAGAATATGGTTCTTGCTCCTATTACATTCAGGAGAGGTCCTCAAAAAGTCCAACTGATAGTTTTTTGAAATTTCTTATAACTTTTTTTTTTTTTTTTTTGAGATGGAGTCTTGCTCTGTCGCCCAGGCTGGAGTGCAGTGGTGTGATCTCAGCTCACTGCAACCTCCGCCTCCAGGGTTCAAGTGATTCTTCTGCTTCAGCTTCCCACGTAGCTGGGATTACAGGTGCCCGCCACCACCCCTGGCTATTGCCTTTCATTTTTAACATCTATTTCACCTTATTATCAGCAATTAAAATAGTGCCTTAGAAATGAAAAATTGTCCTTGCATTACAGAAAATACAAAGTAGTGGCCTTTAGCAAGTACAAGTACTACTAGATGGTGATAGTAAATTAGGAAGTTCAATGTAGAAATGGAACTCAAATGTTTAAATTACAGATTTTTTTCAAAATTAGAATTCAGGCCAGTCAGTGGCTTATTCCTGTAATCCCAACACTTTGGTAGGCCAAGGCAGGCGGATCACTTGAGGTCAGGAGTTTGAGATCAGCCTGACCAACTTAGTGAAACCCCATCTCTTAAAAAAAAAAACAAAAACCAGGCATGGTGGTGCACACCTGTAGTCCCAGCTATTTGGGAGGCTGAAGCAGGAGAATCACTTGAACCTGGGAGGCAGAGGTTGCAGTGAGCCTGGGTGACAGATAGAGACTCTTTTTAAAAAAAAAAAAAAAAAATCAAAATTCAAATGTAATTTATAACAACTCCTACATGTGATTATAAATTTCATAACAGATAATCATGACAAATTTATATATTATGTGTTTAAAAAGAATGTTTAGAAAAAATAAAACTGATTTTCTGTCTTAAAACTCTTTCCAATATCTTACATTTTCACTTTTTTGGATTTCCAATTAGGTGGAGATTGGAGATTTTGAAAGACCTTTCTCAACTCCAGCAGGGCGCGTTACCAATCAGTGCAAAGCAAATCAAACTCTAAAACAAGTCATAGAGAAATTTTATCCTAAGAGGTATAGAGATGGCTGTTCTGAAGAGCAGTTAAGGTAAGGAAATCTTTGTAACTCTTTAGAGGGTAGAGTCGTACTAATTTTTTGGTAATATTTTTCTGTTCAAATTTCAGAGGTAAAAAACATTTTGACACCTTTCTCAAGATTTTTTAATACTATTGAGCCACAGAAGATTATATATATTTTTATTTAAGATAAGCCCATGGGCCGGGCGCGGTGGCTCAAGCCTGTAATCCCAGCACTTTGGGAGGCCGAGGCGGGTGGATCACAAGGTCAAGAGATCGAGACCATCCTGGTCAACATGGTGAAACCCCGTCTCTACTAAAACTACAAAAAATTAGCTGGGCATGGTGGCGCGTGTCTGTAGTCCCAGCTACTCAGGAGGCTGAGGCAGGAGAATTGCCTGAACCCAGGAGGCGGAGGTTACGGTGAGCCGAGATCGCACCATTGCACTCCAGCCTGGGTAACAAGAGCGAAACTCCGTCTCAAAAAGAAAAAAAAAAAAAAAGATAAGCCCAGAAGCTTTAGAATCTATGTTTAAACTTTTGTTAACTTTATTTTATTCTTCAATTTTTAAAAAATTCCCTTTAGATCTACCTTTCAATTGATCTTTTTCATTCTAGTCCAGATCAACCCTGATAATAAATAAGAGAAAAAAATGGTCAAGAATATGTTTAATTTTATGAAGTACATACCAAAAAAATGTATTTTGTATATTCCATTATGAATAAATTGAAATAAAAATAAACTGTATTCTCACATAAGACTTTTTAATATAAAAGTTTCTAATTTACCTCAACTAATTTGGAGTTTCAATCTCAGAGAATATATAGAGAAGCTGATTAGATTTAAAAATAGAGGCAAATCCAGTTTATCATGAGCGTTTCCAAATTGGAACATTTAAGATCAGTCTTTTGTCTACACAGAGTAAGTGGTTGCCTTTGTGATTTGATTTGATAAGTTTCACCCTGCATCTAACATCTCTCCAAGCCAAGCGTGGTAGGACCTAAAATTCTACCATCAGGGATTCATCTTTGGGCTCTACTACTTGTATTTCTTTTTTTCTTTCTTTCTTTTTTTTTTTTTTTAATATGGTGTTTTGCTCTGTTGCCCAGCCTGGAGTGCAGTGAGGCAATCTCGGGCTCACTGCAGCCTCCACCTCCTGGGTTGAAGCTGCTCTCCCATCTCAGCCTCCCAAGTAGCTGGGACTACAGGCACCCACCATCATGCCTGGCTTATTTTTGTATTTTGAGTAGAGATGGGGTTTCACCATGTTGGCCAGGCTTGTCTTGAACTGCTGACCTAAGGTGATCCACCCACCTTGGCCTCCCACAGTGCTGGAATTACAGGCGTGACACACCCCATCCAGCCTGTACTTTTCTTTAAAAAATGAAAATATTCCCATGAGAAATTAGCTTTTAAACTAATTTACGCTGTTTTGATGGTAGATACTCAGATTTTAAAAATGGACCCACAGAGGGCAGTTAGTTCATGCTGAAAATACAAATAGTATGAGAATTTGGTGAAAGGAATATTCCAGAAAGGACAAGTGGTGGACAGTGGTGTGATGAGAGTCACAAAATCTTTACCTGGGTTATGCCTAAGGGTCACAGTTACACTTAGGATTGGCTCAAGGAGAGTTTTATCTTAAGACTATGACACACTGTTTATGTTTTTGCTTTTGTGTTTTTGTTTTTGTTCTTTTCTTTTTTTTTAGGCAGCTTTGCCAGCGACTGTCAACCAGATGGATGGCCCTTCGGGGACACAGTGCTGCAGACTGTGTGCGCATTTATTTGACAGTAGCCAGGAAATGGCCATTCTTTGGCGCCAAGTTGTTTCCTGCAAAAGTAAGAAATAATGGGAGAGAGATACATAATGAAAACCTTTGTGTACATAGTCGACCAGATTTACCCCAGACTTAGTATATTTGTGTAAAAAATGAAGAAATATCCAACAATGTAAAGAAAACAATGAAGAGACGCTAGGGAAAGGGCAGAAAAACTTCTCCATCTTTTCCTCTCTGCCCAGCTTTTCCCCGCCCTAAATCATTTCTTGGACTCGTTAAGCTAATCATGAGTTCTAAACCACAGCTGAACTCTTCACTCTTCATTCGTTCATCCATGTACACGTTTACTCTGTCACTCATTTGCTATTTAATGTATACTAAGTTCTGTTTGCTAAACACTGAGCTAAGCTCTAGGGATACATAACCTATGGTTTCAGATGGATTGTACATGAACTTCCAGGACTATTTCACTTTGTGTAGTCTGGAGTGCAAGAGGCCTGTCAACAAACCACTGTGTGGCAAATATCACTATAAGCGACATGAACAAACTGCTGCAGGAACTCTGAGGAAGGAGACTCACCCTGCCTGGGGACGGCCAGCCCTTTCCCCAAGGGAAAAATTGTGCCTTTTGATTCCTTTTCTTTCTGTTGAACGATGTCTGTTTATACTCTTTCAGCCTCTTAAGGTACAACCTGTCTTGTGTTATATTATTCTGTGTGTTTGTTTTATTCTATTAAACTGCATGCTCCTTGAAACTATAAACTCACTGATCCTAAAATCTTCCTCTGGTGTCAATCATAGTGCTTTGCACATAATTAATAATTATCATTTAACAAATACTTGCTGAATAGCTGTGCAACTTTGGGCAAGTCAGTTTACCTCTCCGGACCTCAGTTTTTCTCCTCTGTTAATGAAATACTTAGACTAGAAAAGTAAAATCTAAGGTATCTTCTAACTCTGATTCTATGAGTAACTATATTCTTGATAGGTGAGAATTTATTTTTTTCTAGTGGAACTGAAAGCTGTATGTTAAGTAAGTTAAAAAGATGATAAAGCTAGTATTTTTAAACATCTATAAAATTAATGTACTTGCAGGGAGTTGAACATGCATATTTTTAAGTTACAAGAAATAGATTTGAATTGTAGATCAGCATGGATTTAATTCTAACATCAGCATTGGAAAGAATAGTAAATACCCTTTCCTGCTCTGATAATATGTGCTTGCTGGCACAAAATATTTAATAATAATATTGCTTTTTAAATTACATGGCAGGCATCCTTTTTGCTCACTTTTCCTTATAATAAGCAACACCCCCTTTGTTGCTTCATGGGATCCTGTTTCGTGTATGTGTGGTAAAATACATATAATGAAATCTACCATTTTAAACTTTTTTTTATTTGAGACGGAGTCTCACTCTGTCACCCAGACTGGAGTGCAATGGTGCAATCTCAGCTCACTGCAACCTCTGCTTCTAAGGTTCAAGAGATTCTCGTGCCTCAGCCTCCCAAGCAGCTGGGATTACAGGCATGCACCACCATGCCCAGCTAATTTTTATAGTTTTGGTAGAGACAGGGTTTCGCCATGTTGGCCAGGCTAGTCTCGAACTCCTGATCTCAGGTGATCCACCTATCTCAGCTTCCCAAAGTGCTGGGATACAGGCATGAGCCACCGCACCCGGCCCAGCCCACTGTAACCATTTTTTTTTCAAGATGGAGTTTCACTCTTGTTGCCTCGGCTGGAGTGCGGTGGTGCAATCTCGGCTCACCACAACCTCCACCTCCCGGGTTCAAACAATTCTCCTGCCTCAGCCTCCCAAGTAGCTGGGATTACAGGCATGTACCACCACGCCTGGCTAATTTTGTTTTAGTAGAGACAGAGTTTCTCCATGTTGGTCAGGCGGGTCTTAAACTCCTGACCTCAGGTGATCCACCCACCTTGGCCTCCCAAAGTGCTGAGATTACAGGCGTGAACCACTATGCCCTTCCTGTAACCATTTTAAGTGTATAGTTCTGTGGCATTAGGTACATTCTCATTGTTGTGTTACTGTCACCACTACTTTTTTATTTTCCCAAACTGAAACTGTACCCATTAAATGCTAACTCCACAGTCCTCCCTCCTCCCAGCCGCTGGCAACCCCCACTCTGCTTTCTGTCTCTATGCATTTGACTACTTTAGGAATTTTATGTAAGAGAAATCTTGCAATATTTGTGCTTTTACTGGCTTATTTCACTTAGTATAATGTCTTCAAGGTTCATTCATGTCGTACGTAGCATGTGTCATAATTTCCTTCCTTTTTGGCCAGGCACTGTGGCCCATGCCTATAATCTCAGCACTTTGGGAGGCCGAGGCGGGTGGATCACGAGGTCAGGAGTTCGAGACCAGCCTAGCCAAGACAGTGAAACCCCATCTCTACAAAAAAAAAATAATAATAATTAGCCAGGCATGGTATCACACACCTGTAGTCCTAGCTACTCAGGAGGCTGAGGCAGAAGAAGCGCCTGAACCCAGGAGGTAGAGGTTGCAGTGAGCCAAGATCACGTCACTGCACTCCAGCCTGGGTGACCCAGCGAGACTTTGTCTCAAAAACAAAAATGTCTTTCCCTTTTGAGGCAGAATAACATTCCACTATATGTATATATATATACCACATTTTGTTTATCCTTTCATCTGTCAGTGGACACTAGATTTGAAGGGCATCCTTTTGAATTGAATTCTTCCCTTTCCTTTGCAAATCAACCCTCAGTAGACAATTTCTAACTCAGGGTTTTTTATATATGAGATGCTAACAAGTTTTATTATATAAAATAACACAACATTCATCCCAGTTTTATATCTATAGTCCTGACATTATTTTATAAAATTTAAGAGAAAAAGTTAATTTTTTTTAGGATTTCACTTGTTAATGGAACAAAACAAGCATCATTAATTGCTTAGAAACATTCATGGGTTTCAGCTGAGTTTTACTGGTAGGAGATTCTTTTTATTAATATAATTTTATAGCTTTTTTTTTTTCTGTGAGAACCAGGAGCAGCTTTTACCTTTTTTTTCCTTTATATTTTTCTTTTTCCTTTTTTTTTTTTTTTTGAGATGGAGTCTCACTCGGTCACCCAGGCTGGAGTGCAGTGGTGCTGTCTCAGCTCACTGCAACCTGTGCCTCCTGGATTCAGGCTGTTCTCCTGCCTTAGTCTTCCAAGTAGCTGGGATTACAGGTGTGTGCCAACAGACCGAGCTCATGTTTGTATATTCAGTAGAGATGGGTTTTCACCACGTTGGCCAGGCTGGTCTCAAACTCCTGGCCTCAAATGATCCACCTGCCTCGGCTTCCCAAGGTGCTGGGATTACAGGTGTGAGCCACCACACGCAGCCAATTTCATAGCTTTTACAATGAAAAATGTAGTGGAAATTTTTATATTTCTCATTACTGTTGATCACACAGCTTCATATTTTCTTTTCTGTTTTTATTACACATTGAATATCAGATTTAATAAACTTTCAGGAAAGGTATGCAATTATAATAATAATCCTCTACCTTGTAATAGCACTATACAATTTATCAAGCACATTTTGCTTAATTAGGATTTTGGTCATGATAGAAACCCTAAAAGCTTTGTTGACTGTTAACCTCGTAACGCAGAAGAAAAATAAGATATAAACATTATTGTTCCTATGCTAAAGATGAGGAAATTGAGCCTCAAAGAGATTCATAGCTTGTCCAAATGAACACATTAACAGATGGCAGGTTTGGGTCTCAAAGCTATGTCTGCTAATATCAAATTCACTGTACTCTCCAATATACCACCCTGCCTCTTTCCGAGGAGAGATTTTTAATAAGTTTTGTTATTATTGTTGTTTAATGGCAAATGTTACATGACATTTAGACTGAAAAATATTTCTGTAATTTTGCTTAGCATTTATAATCTAGTATATTTTTACCTCTTCATAGCCCATAAGTCCATCATCACTTGGAAGTACTTTCATGTGGCTGGCTATACATGAGGATGGTTTAAGCCTCTTAGAATACAATTCCATGGTAAGTTTAAAAGCGAAAGTTTTGCATTGAGTCAACTGTTTCCATTGTTCAGTGTACCATAAACAGAAGGTAGTGATCTCTTAATCTGATTTTTCTCTTATGCAGAAAACATTCTTCCTGATACTATGTCATGAAAAGTCATTTTACAAATACAGCTATGATTATAATTTAACCTTTTAAAATAAGATAAGACAGGTCGTTTATTGTGTATGAGAAAAGTATTGATACCATGATTAAATTGTGATCATGGTTATATTCGTGAAATGATTATATTTTAAAAAGTGTTAAGAAGATTGTTTCTTGTGTAAAATAAAAATCTGTAAGAAATCATTGAAGTGGAAACTTTAATTACCGAAGTTTTAGTTCAGTTTCACTAAGGCTTCTTTAACAATTTCTGTAATTTCCCATAATGTCATATATATAGCATCTTAGCACTTTTCACATAGTTTAAAGTCAAGCTATGATTTCTATATACGTTCATTTACCTGAAATTTACATTATTTTTTATCATATTTCATGTGTCTATTTAATACAATTTTATTCTCTCTTTCGTTTAATCTGGTGGGAAGGAATTACTAAATTCACTGGGCAGGTATAATCCTGTGGCTGTAATCAGAGATCACTGAACATTTTCTAGAAACCAAACCACTGTTTTGTGTTATAGTTTGTGTTATAGTGTTATAGTTACTATTTCCCCTTATAATTGCTTAAAAAACACACACACACTTTTTTTGCAAGGGCTTATATTTTCTGAGTGCCTTTTAGTTCTTGAATGGATAACATGAAGATATTATAAAATCAGCAACTTAAAGTTAGAAGAAAATCTGTACACCAGTACTGAGTTACCTTAGTTCAGGAAACTGGCTCCCTAGCTCCCAGGAGATAGCCAGACAGGCCAGGAAGCACACACAGGTGGGCTGCAGCTCTGAGGCATTCAGTCCTGGAATGGTCTTCTCAGTCTTGCAAGCTAATCATTAGCTGTGCAGATTGGTTTTAAGCTGTATGCTAGTTACATTTTATGATTTTTTTTTTTTTTTGAGGCAGGGTCTCTTTCTGTTACCCAGACTAAAGTACAGTGGTGGGATCATTACTCACTGCAACCTTGACCTCCTGGGCTCAAGCAATCCTCCTGCCTCAGCCTCCCAAGTAGTTACCACAGGCGCTTACCACAATGCGCAGCTACATTTTTTATTTTTTCATAGAAACGGGGTCTCCCTATGTTGCCCAACATGGGCTCAAGTGATCCTCCCACCTCAGCCTCAGGAGTAAGTTATATTTTTAATATTGTTTTGGAAACACGTTAGAAAAGAAATATTTGCTGCATATGTGACAAAGCGTTAATATTCTTAATTATAAGACATAGATGTCTTATAAAACAGTAAGAACATTATGAACACACCAATAGACAAATGGCCAAGGCAATTCACAAAAGAAGAAATACAAATGTTCAATAAATGTATTTTCAAAGGTTAATTTCTCTAATAATTAAATTAATGCAATTTAAAACAGTGAGATTCCACATTTCACCAGTCAGTTTGTAGAGATTTAAAAGAAGGATCACATTTAGTGTTAGCAAGACTGAGGTGCTGGAACCATCAATAGGTACATACTTTCTGGAGGAGAGTTTGGAAATTCTCAGAAATTGTCTTTTTTGAGCTATCAATTCCACTATTGTTTGGTTTTATAACCAAATAAATAATTAGGTATGTGGGTTATGAAATACATCCAAAAATATTCACTGGAGTATTGTTTCAGATAATAAAAAATAAAAGTGATTTAAATATTCTGCAATAGCAGGTTAATTAAATAAAGGATTTCCTATAAAATCATTTAAAATGATGTTATACAAGTACATGTTGTCATGGAAATATGTTCACAATACGTCATTAGGGTTAAAAAAGAAGCAGAATTCAGCCGGGCGCAGTGGCTCACGCCTGTAATCCCAGCACTTTGGGAGGCCGAGGCGGGTGGATCACGAGGTCAAGAGATCGAGACCATCCTGGTCAACACAGTGAAGCCCCGTCTCTACTAAAACTACAAAAAAATCAGCTGGGCATGGTGGCGCGTGCCTGTAATCCCAGCTACTCAGGAGGCTGAGGCAGGAGAATTGCCTGAACACAGGAGGCAGAGGTTGCGGTGAGCCGAGATCGCGCCATTGCACTCCAGCCTGAGAAAAAAAGGCAAAAACATCCTCAAAAAAAAAAAAAAAAAAAAAAGAAGCAGAATTCTAAACAGTATTCATGATACTGTTTCTGTTTATAGATTTTGAAATCCATCTATCAGGGTGAAGTATATAGATTTGCTAATATTTGACCATTTGACCATAAAAAGTATCAGTTTCATATGGTGTAACCTAACATATTTATGAGCTATGTGAAAGGACATATACAAAATATTAACAGTGGCTTTCCACTAGATGCTGGAATGTAGATGCTTTTTATTTTTATTTTTTTAATATTATCTAATTTTTCTCGAATGACTTGCTTCAGATTCACCATTGTAAAGGTAGATGATGCCTAATAAAATTAGTACCACTACTATCTATTTTGGATCATAAAAGATTTTATTTTAGAAAATAATTTTTGTATTATACCATAATTAATAACTGCATTTTAATGGAGATATAATATTAATTATTTTTCATCTCTCTTTGGAAGTAAGAGCATATAACATATTTACTTTTTCTTCTCTTTGAAGAGGTTAATAGTCAGCTATGTGTACAAGAGTCTAATGACCTTTGGAGGCTATCAAGATGATTTTATGGTAGTCATTAACAATACACATTCAAAGGACAAACCGACAGAGAAATTACTTTTTGCCATGGCAAAACCCAAGGTGAGTAGAAACCTTTCTGCCAACTTTTTTTGTGCTAGTTGTTTTTACTTGATCTTAGCCAAAAGGCCAAAAAGCAATGCTAGTTGTTTTCATACTAAAACATTTATTCGGCAAAGACTACATTCCAGATGGGAAAACAGACGTTTTTTATAATCAAACAAACTGGTCCAACTTACATCATCTTTCCAAGCCCTGGTTTCTTTGTCCAAAAATATGGTAACACACTCCCTCCTTCTTTTGGCTTAAGAATTAAATGAAGGAAGTTTGTAGAGTACTTAGCCCAGTGCCAGGTATACAGAAGATTCAAAATAAATGGTCATGGCATTAAGTTATTGCTGTCAGGAACTTTATACACATTATCTTATTCAGTTGGGGTTATTTGCTTTATGGACTCGTTAGAGGAAAGACAGGGGTTTTATAATTAAAACATACTTGCTCCTTTATGACTTTTAATGAACTATGTACTTTTAACATCTCTAAGTAAAAGCAGTACATAAATTGAATATATTCTAACATGTCATTCCAATTTTAGTAAAAAGAATGAGAAAGTGATTTTCCTAAAACTTTAACTGTCTTAGTGTTATTAGATAAAAGAGATTGCTTCTTCAGAATATGAAGCTTTTTAAAAAAAAAATAGATGTCTTTCTTAATTAAGCCTATACTGAAGTGAAAGCAGCTAACCATTAAGTGCAGATCAGGGAACTTGTTCTTAGTGAAAATAGAGAGTTCATATGACACTGACTTTCTCAATTCATATATTCATGCATGTGGCTTTATGATAATTTGATAGGGTTGTACTACTGACTGTCATATTTCCTAAGATTGCCACCAAATTTGATTGTTTTTGAGATGCACTCTTTCTGCTGGTTAAAGTGATGAAAAAATGTGTGGCTGCCTTGATGGTACTGGACATGTAAGCACTTCATTGTTTGACCTAGAGAGAAGGGAATTCCGGCAGCCTGGGCCCTTGCAAATGGAGATCACCTGTGGCCAACCCTTTCCTCTCTTCTGGAAGTGATGAGAACTTCTCAGGAGTGTAACAATTCTGTTTTCCACTTTTTAGATTCTTGAAATCACTCTTTTGATCGCCAGTTACATAAACAACTTCCATCAGCAAAAGGCAGCATTTCACCACCTCTCTGCTCCAGCACTGCTCTCAGCCCAGACCCGAAGACCCCAAGCCAGAATGATGGGAAGCCAGCCTCTTCTGTCAAGCAGCAGACCGACCAAAGGTCCCACCTTGCTCTGAAAGCTGGGGAGTCTGAACAGTCACTCTTTGTCCTCTGTGCCGTGGCTATATCAGCTCCCTACAAGTTTGTTTACACCTGGCAGCATGGCAGCCATACACCTGTATTCCAAACTTTAACAATGATGGGGGTTAGTCTCTTTTATTTGATTTTTAAATATTCAAATAAATATTTGACAGTAAAACATAAACACAAAATTTGCCAACACACTAATTTTCTTATAGAGTTAATGAATAAGAATTCATCATTTTTTCCATCTCCCTTCTCCCTTGTCATCAGACATATTGTGCAATGTGGCTTTTTTTCTTTTCTTTTTTCCCCTTTTTTTAAAAGATATTCTGGAAATCTTTAGAAAGGGAGATTCCAAACTCTCATTTGGTAAACCAGTTGATTATTTGGAAATGTTCACTGCCAAAATAGTAAGTACTATAATTAAATGTGCTTTTTTTTTTGAGATGGAGAGTCGCTCTTGTTGCCCAGGCTGGAGTACAATGGTACAATCTCAGCTCACTGCAACCTCTGCCCCCCAGGTTAAAGTGATTCTCCTGCCTTAGCCTCCTGAGTATCTGGAATTATAGGTGCATGCCACCACACCCAACTAATTTTTTTGTATTTTTAGTAGAGATGGGATTTCACCATGTTGCTAGGCTGGCTTTGAACTCCTGACCTCAGGTGATCTGCCTGCCTCATCCTCCTAAAGTGCTAGAGTTACATGAGTGAGCCACCTCGCCCAGCCTAAATGTGCTTTTAATTAATGATATGGTGTTTGGAAAGGAGTAGAACACGCAGCGGAAGAAAAAACTGCAGGGTAGCGTGAGGAGTACATTTTCAGAGCAGGTGCAATACATCTTCTGGCTCTGTGAATCATTTTATGCGAAAACAGGAATTAGGTAACCTGAGCCTCCTGTGTGGTATTAGAGTATACCCTGTCACCTTTCCAGATCACTGGAGTGTAAAATTTAAAACAAGATGGCGATTCCTGACATTCCTTTGCTGTCAGTACTTCCCAGGTTCACAAGAATATTGTCCACATTTCACTGCATTTGATGCTGGGTCATCTTGACCTTGCTTTGTTAATATCTTTAAAAACAAAGACAATAAATAATTAAAGCTTTTCCCCTCACATAGTACCTTGTAATTATAATTTGAAAATAGAGTCCTTATACATACATACAGTACATACATACATACATACATGTATATACAGATAGGGTCTTGCTATGTTGCCCAGGTTGGCCGTGAACTCCTGGCCTCAAGCAGTCCTCTCTCCTCAGCCTCCCAAAGTGCTAGGATTATAAGTGTGAGTAACCATGCCTGGCTCTAAAAATATTTTATTTTTATTTTTTTGAGGCAGGGTCTCACTATGTTGCCTAGGCTGGAGTGCAGTGGTACCATCATAGCTCACTGCAGCCTCAACCTTCTGGAATCAAGCAGTCCCACTTCAGGCTCTTGAATAGCTGGGACTACAAGCATGCACCACCATGCCCAGCTAATTTTTGTATTTTTAGTAGAGATAGGGTCTCCCTATGTTGTCCAGTCTGGTCCCAAACTACTGGTTCAAGTGAATCTCCTGCCTTGGCCTCCCAAAGTGCTGGGATTACAGGTGTGAGCCACCGTGCCCAGCCTCAAAAATATTTTTTAAAAGAGAAAATAATTCTTCTTTCAAAGGAGGTGAAATTTTAGTTGATAGAGTACTTAAACATATTACTTTATTAGGTTATGGAAGTGGTCAATGCATTCCAGTATGTGTCACAACAATGTAATTCATATTCATGATAAAAATGAAACTGTGATAAGACATGAAAATTATATTATTAAAATGTTCAGTTGTAATGGTAATCATGAATATACTTAATTTTATTTATGTATAGAATATTTGTATTTATTTTTTGGACATATATTTATCATTTTGTCATATTTTTTTAACCAGTTTGAGAAAATGTTAGCTGCTGAATTAATTTGTTGGCCAAGCCTTCGTATTTTCTTCTTTGCTGCTTTCTCCCTGTGGCAAAGTACTGTTCTCACATTAAGCCTTTAAAAAATGTTCCATACTGTTTTAGCATCCTTAGAAGGAACAGAGCTAAGAAATACACTGTTCAAGTAATATGGTACTTAATTGATCATGACAAAAAGAATATTTTTAAACCTCATCAAAATAGGTTTCCATTGACTATTTCCCCTATGTCTTTTGAGCCACAGTCACCTATTGAAGAAGCAAATTTGTTTTTGAGAATAAACTGGTAACCAGTTTGGAATGACTCTCAGAAGCCTTTTGGCTGGGATACAGTAGAGTTTCTAAGTTCCAAGAGAGCCATTTAATAATTAGTTGGTGAGCCAGAGGCTTGACAGAGGGGTTACTTATGTGTGAGGGCTTTATTCTCAGGCAGTAGTTTATTCACCATTTGGTAAGCCCCTCCCCACAATCTTCTAATTTAAACAAGTAGTGAAGGCTTAGCTTAAACTGTAGTACCTTAGACTTGGCATTTATTTTTGATAGAGCAGAGATAAAATATTTTGATGGAAGGAAATCAATTTTCCGTAACTGATGATGTGAAAATTTTATTTTCTGGGAAATTATATAGCCATTCAAAAATTCAAAGTATGTTATTATGATTGGTTACAAGAGAATAATGTTACACGTTTAATTGTAATATTTGTCTCCTATCATTTTCTTCCCTTTCAATCATAATAAATGATTTACAAAACCCATTTTGAGCATTATCTTTTGAATAACCTTCAAGAAATACCTAATGTTTTCATTGTCAAAGCTGAGGTGTAGGACTAGTGAAAATGGTAGTTATTACCTCCTTCTCTTGCATTCATGCTTTGTCTTCAGTGTTGCTTTGTTTTATCCATATAAAAGAAAGCGGTTTTGGCCAATTGTTATTTGAATCCATATGCATGCATATTGACACACAATATGTAAATAGGTAAATAGATAGAAATATTGGTTCTCCCAAGATTTCATATTTCATACAGGTGAGTTGAAGGAATTATGTTCCAAAAATTTGTTTAAATGAGTGTGTGTGTGTGTGTGTGTGTGTGTGTGCGTGTGTGTGCCCTTAAAATCAAACACTATCATAGCTTAGAAATGAATTTAACTCTCAATTCAAGAGAAGTTAGTCACAACTTATAAAGAGTTTTTGCTTCAAAAATGTGTTTAAGGTTTTGCTATTTGGTTTTTTTTTTTTTTTTTTTTCATTAAAAGAAATACATGTGCTTATGTCTCCCTGCCAATTTAAAAAAAAAAAATACATGATGATTGAGTTCTAGAACAATACATTTAACTCATAATTGTACCTGAAGCATAATCCTGAAGAAGTAACCACCGGCCAGACATGGTGGCTCACGCCTGTAATCTCAGCACTTTGGGAGGCCAAGGCAGGTGGATCATGAGGTCAGAAGTTCAAGACCAGCCTGATCAGGATGATACAACCCCGTATCTACTAAAAACACAAAAAATTAGCTGGGCGTGGTGGCATGTGCCTGTAGTCCCAGCTACTCGGTAGGCTGAGGCAGGAAACCCCGTCTCTACTAAAAATACGAAAATTAGCCAGCTATGGTGTTGGGCGCCCATGATCCCAGCTACTTGGGAAGCTGAGGCAGGAGAAACACTTGAACCTGGGAGGCGGAGGTTGCAGTGAGCTGAGATCGCGCCACTGCACTCTAGCCTGGGTGACAGAGCAAGGCTCTGTCTCCAAAAAAAAAAAAAAAATGTAACCACCATGGATAATCATATTTATCTATAAAAAGGCTTTATGTGTTGGTGGGATGCCAAGAACGTATTTCCCCCACCCACTCACCCCCTACCAGCTGCCATGGAATTTGGCCTTCCTCAATGCTAATGGGCTCTGGGCTGATTTCTATGGAGGGGCGGCTCCAGTAATTTGAAAATTGAGGAAGGGAAGTGAGGAGCAGGAAGGAGTGGACAGAGTAGTTTCCCTGCTGCCCACCAGATTTATGCAAAAATGACATCTCCTCTCACATTTCCCCCCAATTCTCTTTTCCCTGAAAGAAGAAAAGAGTTTAACTGAAACAGAAGGAACTACTTCTCCTTTAAACTCCAAATTAAGGTAAGTCCACATGTAGATATTTAGGTTGAAGCATGATTTATCTGTACTTCAGTGGGACCAACATGCAGGCTTTTCTTGGGCGGTTTTTGTTGTTGTTGTTGTTTTTCAGTATCTTTATGACAATTATTAGGCATTTAAGTGGGAAGATCAGTTCTACAAGGAAGAGTTGGTGGGTCTGGGCAGAGGCTGGGGTGAGAAGATGATTAAGCATTTGCTTTATATTGTGATTTTATTTGTTGGATTTAATTTGACCTAAATTGTACATAGTCACAGTGACTCTGGATTATAATTTGCTTCATTCCAAAAAACTTCATTGTATCCTTTATATTATTTTGCAGTCCAGTGATAGGCAAGGAATACCAACTTTACTGGGGAAGGGTCTATTAGCAAATAACTCCAAAATAGGACACAAATGTTCACCACAGCACTTGAATACCAAATACCCTTCCTTCCTGTGCTTTGCCAACACAATTTTCTTTTTCTTTATATATATATATATATATTTTTTTTTTTTGAGACAGTTTCGCTCTTGTTGCCTACTGGAGTGCCATGGTAGGATCTCAGCTCACTGCAACCCCTGCCTCCTGGGTTGAAGCAATTCTCCTGCCTCAGCCTCCCAAGTAGCTGAGATTAAGGGCGCCCACCACGATGCCTGGCTAAATTTTGTATTTTTAGTAGAGACAGGGTTTTACCATGTTGGTCTGGCTGGTCTCAAACTCCTAACCTCAGACAATCTGCCTGCCTCAGTCTCCCAAAGTGCTGGGATTACAGGCGTGAGCCACTGCACCCAACTTGCCAACGTAATTTTCTAATAAACAGAGTTGGGGTGAGAAACGAAAGGCACTTTCTGAAGTGCTGCCAGGTTATATTGTGGTTTTACGAAAATCAAATGACTCTTCTTTAGCAGTGGCAGTGGCAAGAGAAGGCCAGTTACCTCTCTCATTATGTGGCTCTAATGAATTCCCAGGAGTTCCTTGGAACTGAATATTGCGTAATGCCAGAGGAAATGACTTAAATGTTATTAACTTCTTGAGTTTGTGGAAAATGCTATCAAACTCCAATAAGAGTTGCCTTTTATGAGAGAAAAGTTTACAGAAAGTGTGTGACCTTAGAAAAGCTCGTGGAGAGTTGTTAGCTTTTGGATAATGCACAGATTATAAGATGTTCCCCTCAGGGATGGGGTATCGTCAACACTGCTTTTATGTTCTGACTATTCTACCGAAATGCCTTCACATGAGGTTACCATTGACCATCTAACTGCCAAGTCCAGCAGACGCCAAATGGTCCAACGGTCTGCCGGATGATATTTCAAACTCACCACGTCCTCTAAACATGCATCTCCTGCTCTGTGTCCCTCCAAATTAGTTAATAGGATCACCAGTTCATCAATCACTCAAGAAAGAAACATTAACTTTTCTCCCTTTTCCCAAGGCCTCAGTCTCCACTAACTAGTAATTGTATTAGATAGAACTCTTTCTGCTGTAAATTCCAAAATTCAACTTGAACTAGCTTAGACAAAAATGAGAAATTATATTACAAGAATATTAGAATATCTCATATAATCAAAGAGCAAGCTGAACCACCAATCCATAAAAAAGATGAGGACACAGGCAAGCCTTAGGACAACTAGAACCATGAGACATGAGCCAGGACGTTCTCTTCATATTGATGTGTGTCTGCTCTGTGCTGGATAGCTACAGAATAATTCATTTAGCATAAAATATGCTAATTTCCTCTAGAATGGGAGTGACTCGCTTTCCCCAATTCTAGTTTGAAAAATTTCAGGGAAGAAAGGACTGTGATTAACCCAGCTCATGTTAGGTGTTTATTCTGAACCACCCCAAACATACTCAACATTAGGAGAATGCTGGGACCAGGCGCAGTGGCTCACGCCTGCAATCCCAGCACTTTGGGAGGCCAAGGCAGATGGATCACCTGAGGAACAGGAGTTGAAGACCAGCCTGATCAACATGGAGAAACCTCATGTCTACTAAAAATACAAAAATTAGCTGGGTGTGGTGGAGAATGCCTGTAATGCAAGCTACTCGGCAGGCTGAGGCAGGACAATCACTTGAACCCGGGAGGGGGAGGTTGCAGTGAGCCGAGATCGCGCCATTGCACTCCAGCCTGGGCAACAAGAGCAAAAACTCTGTCTCAAAAAAAAAAAAAGGAGAATGCTTAAATAAATTATGAAAAATCTATATAGTGAAATATTCTGTAGCCATCAAAGTAATGTTTATGATTCATTTTTAAAATTTGAATGGGGAAATACATGTTAAAATCAGGATATTAATTAACTTTAATCTCAACTATGTAAGAAAAAACACTAGAATGAAACACATCAAATGTGTTTCCAAAATACCTAATAGTTATTACTTCTGGATTATGCTTATTTTATTCTCTTAATTTTCTGTGTATACCTTTTTTTTCTACAATTAGCTTATATAACTTTGAAAACAAGGGAAAATATTTTAAAACTCTGCCTGTCACTTACCTGGATATTGTTAATAGCCTCCACATGGTCTTCTAGATGCCAAAACATCCTTCATGCAGCTGCAAAAAATTATCTCACTGAAACTCATGCCTGATCGTGGCACACTCCTATTTTTAAACCCTATTTGGTTTCTCATAACCAACACAGTAAAGTCTAGATGACAGCATCCTTCACAGCAGCCCCATCTACCTGCCCAGTTTGCTCTTCCACTGTAGCTTTCCGCCAGGCACTTTAAATGATCCCATCCCAAACTATTCAGTTTCCCAAATACACCCTGCACTCGCCTTTACCCTTCTGCACTGTTGCTCATTCCATCCAGAAAGCAGCATGAAATTGTCTCCTTCTGCTTCCATTCTTACCTTAATAACAATCTTCATCTACCCAGGAAGGTCACTTTCTTTGCCCAAGTATGAAAGCATGAAGGCCTGAAGAGGAATTAGGGAAGAAAGGGGAACTCACCTGCTCAGATTAACTGAATCAATCCCGAATCAATTCTGCTGATCAGGGCCCAGCCAGGTCTGCCTTCATCTTCCTTGTTACCAAGCTCCCTCCTTCAAACACCTCTCCCAGCTATTCAAACAAGTGTACTTTTGAAGTACTAGTACTGTGCCCAGTACATAGCAAGCACTTGGCAAAAATGTTAGCTGTCATTATTGTTATCAATATCAACAGGCCTTCCTAACTAGCATGCAAAAGTATTCTGAAGTTCTAGAACCCAAATCATTACATACAATTCATTACGATCTGTCCCATATCAGTTTGTGAGCTTATAGGCTGGCTTAGCACCAGGCTATAGCTGCTGATTTAATGACATATGTATAAGCCTCCTTTAAAAATCATCCTTTCTTCGCTGAGCTCTACTCCCATTAATTCCCTTCCTATGTGCAACTTAGTGTTCCTTGTGTCTCCAAAATACACCTAGATGTTGGGAGGATTTTGTTCCCAATGACTTTATCTGAAATAAACACCCTTTTATCAACTATCAGCCTAATTTACAGAAATGTGTTCCTCGTGTTTCTTTGTTCAAAGTTTCTGACCAGCAGCTTATCACACAATCATAACAAGCATTAAGCAGTTATAATGTGTGACACACACACATAAGTTATGTTTTACCTATGTTTATCTCATTTAAGATTCACAATCTTTCCTGCTTTACAGGATCAGAAACTAAGGCTCAGAGAAATTCAGTGAATTACCCAATGTGGCAATGTGGCAATGTGGCAACTTAGCCAGCGTGGCTGAGTCAGGACTTGAACCTAGGTCCATCTCACTCCAAAGCCCACGTCCTTGAACATCACACCACAGAAATCAAGCTGAATAGCAGAGGATTGGAGGGAGGGAGTGTTAGGCTAGAAAGCCTGAGTCTACTCAGCATTCAACACAGACCAAATACTATCAGTGCCATGAATGTTTCATCATCTCCTTCAAGCATAATTAGTCACTTGCCCTCATGTAATTTTTGTACCTCTGTACAATAGCTTAGATCACTAACTTCCTTAGGTGCTTATAATTAGCTGAGTATGTCTTTCTTAAGGGTAGCGATCTTTTCTTATCTCCTTATTCCTTATTCTATGTAGCATAGGGCCTTGCATATAGTAATTATTCAATGTTTGTTATTTATTTGGACACTTCTGAAGATCTATAAAGAGATCACAAAGTTCCAAAACAAAATAATCTACATTCATAAGGTAAATGAAGTATGTAGGAGATGCACTTGCTTCACTAATTTATTAATAAATACATCATGTGCTATTGAATAAAAATTGAAACAACTAAACATCAGGAAAATTGGAAAATATTAAAATTACATGCCTTATTTTAAATTTTAAAGTCTGGAGATTCTTTGCTTCTAGTAAATTACTGGAAAACAGCTCAAGAGATTGTTACCCTCTATTCCTAAATCATGGGGATTGGGAAGAAAAAAGTAAAAGACGAGAGGGAGCAGAGACCCCTGACGTATAGTTGACAGTAAAAAATTTTTTTAAATAAAAGAACACTTCCAGCCCAGAAACAATTGCTTTTAGATCCCAGGTTTGGAACCCCTTATCACCTCGTTCTAGGATGTAAGAAAGGTTTACAAACTTGGGATCTAAAAGCAGTCCTAAGGCTTGACGCTGAGTGCGAGATGTAAAAGGACTCCGGAGAACTACATTTCCCATGACGCTCCTCTCCTCACGTAACTGCGGCCGCGACGTCGCTCCCATGGCAACCCAGAAGGCCTCACTCCCAGACTCCTTGCAGAACTCTTCGCCTGCTTCCAGGTTGGGCCCTACTCCGAGCCCGCGACGTTTGCTGCAGCCGGGCCACGATGCCCAGGTATTCACTGCGAGGGAGAAGCTGCTGAGACTATTCCTGGGGAGCGGAAACCCAGGCAGGGCCAGCTGGTAGAAGATTGTGGGGGTGGTCTGCATGCACTCGGGTCTGCATGGTCTCGGACCCAGGTATCAGCCTCGAGCATAAAGATTCTGCCGCAAACAGGAAAGAAAGTACCCCAGGTAGAAAAGTAAGAGATTTGGAAAGATCAGCAACTGCACCCTTCAGTGATTGAATAAAAGTTTCTTGCGGGCCAGAGACTGCCCCCAGAGAAGGGCATTCAGCGATGAGCTAGACCACAGAGCCTTCTCTGCCCAGGGGCCTCGCCTCCTGATGCGAGATTCGGAGTAGCAAGTGAGGGGAAGCTTGAAAGGCACTATGGAAAGTACAGCCTCACACTTACCGAGGGAAACGGGAGAGGGTTTGTAAACTATTTTCTAGCTCTTCAATTCTATGATGGTCATTTCAATTACCTGTTCTCCGGATAGTCCTAAACCGTCTCTCGACAGTTTATAAGCATGTCGGGGAGAGGGGTCAGGGAGTGAGTGCCTCACAGAGCAGGATAAATCTTTTTCTCCCCTTGGGCTAGTGTGGAAAATTGCCAGTTATAAAGGTATGGTTATAGTTAGGTGACATGCCTGACTCCAGCACCTCCATCTCTCCTGTCTGCTGGGTATTTGGAAAGCAGATCCTCACATTCTGAAAGAATGTATAAATGAGGAGCAAACAGGCCTAAACTGAGTTCTGAAGGCTCACCTGTAAAATAAATGCATCGATTTTAGTGCAGACATTTAAGGACTCCTGTTTTGGCCCTTTTTCTTTATTCTTGGTTCTTGAATAGTAACAATTATAAGCCCTCAATAATTTGTGTAATTGTATAGGCCATTCCCTAAACTAAATACCTATTTTAAAAATTATGACAATCCTATAAAGCTGGTTTTCTTTTTTATTGGCATTTTAGCGATAGGGAAACAATTCAGCCTGGGCAATAGCACAGAGGATTGCATGTATTAGATGCTCAATAAATATTTGTTTAATTAATAAAGGGATGAAGGATTTAAAGAGGTTAGGTAATTTGCCCGACTTCACATACATAGAAAGTAGCAGAATCAGGCTAGGACCTATCAGGTCTTGCCCGTAGTTTTGAGTTCAATATTGCATTTTCACTTAGGCTTTAATTTATATATATATATATGATTTTATTGTGTAAAATTATGTATGTAAAGAAATGAAGGAAAGGATGGTTTTCAAAATGTCCGTGATTTTAGCGTTTTTTTTTTCCCTTCTTTATACCTTTTGTTTGTTTTGAGACAAGGCCTTACTGTGTCAGCCAGGCTGGAGTGCAGTAATGTTATCATGCTCACTGCAGCCTCAACCTCCGGGGCTCAGACGATCCTCCTGCCTAAGCCTCCCTAGCAGTTGGAACTACAATGTCACCACACCCAACTAACTTCTTTCCTTCTTTTCTTTCGACAGAGTCTCGCTCTGTTACCCAGGCAGTAGTGCAGTGGCACAATCTTGGCTCACTGCAACCTCGTCCCGGGTTCAAGTGATTCTCTTGCCTCAGCCTCCTGGGTAGCTGGAGTTACAGGTGTGTGCCACCACGCCTGGCTAATTTTTTATTAGAGATCGGGTTTTACCATGTTGGCCAGGCTGGTCTCGAACTTCTGACCTCAAGTGATCCACCCACCTTGGCCTCCCAAAGGTGGGCGGATCACTTGATCCTGTAATCCCTCTGGGATTACAGGCGTGAGCCACCGCGTCCAGCCTCAGTTAATTTTTAAATTATTATTATTTGTAGAGATTGGGTCTCCCTATATTGCTTAAGCTGATATCAGGTGATCTTCCTGCCTCAGCCTCCCATATACTTTTATATTTAAAAAAAGTTTTTAGCTAAAACATTTAAGAAACAAAGAAGAAACTTTTCAGAGAGCAAAGATTATTTGATACACCGATTTTGTACTTTCCCCGTCTTCCTAGGTGACCTAAGTGTTTGTGGTTTTCAAGATGTACATTCCCAAAAGTCATTGTACCTTCAAGTGTGTCTCAGAAGCCAACATACCCAGCTATGAACCTTAGGGGAAGCCCCAAATAAGACAACCTCAGATCCTGGTGATAAAGGCTCTGCTTATCAATTTCAGTATTCTTCAAAGAACTAGTTGAAAGTAACAAAAGAAAAACAAAATCATAGAATGACTCATCCTCAGATGTTTTACCAAATTGTTGTTCCTCAGAAAATAATGTTCATTTATGTCATAAATTTTACTGAAATAAATTATCTCTGAGCTTGAAATAAATATTTGAAAATTCTTTTTCTCTGAATTTTTATTTTCTGCTTCTCATGTAGTGAAACTCTCTGGGAAATTGCAAAAGCTGAAGTGGAAAAAAGAGGAATTAATGGAAATGAAGGTGATGGAGTAGAAATTGGAGAAAAATCTGTTTTCTTCATTGGCAGTAAAAATGCGGTAATGCTTTCTTGTTTTCAATTGTGATGATTTAACAACCAGTGATAAAATATCTTTTAATACTTTGATTACTATGTAGATACTTCAACACTTTAACCAGATGACCAATCTGGTTTAGCGTGAATTGGAAAGTGCTTATTATTAATCTAGGAAAAACTATAATAGTAAACAAAATTTTAGAAAAATATATTTAAACTATTTTTTTCATGATTTGAAAATATTCAGGTCTTCTACCACAATTGAGTATAAAAGCTAGGATTCATTTAAATATCCAAGTCAGTCTTTAAGTCGCTATCTTAACAATTTTATATTTCAGATTGTTACTTTACTTTTAGAAATCTCATTAAAGAAATAATTGAACTATGTCAAGGATGTTTGTCAAATAATTATTCATTATTTTGAAAAATGTGGGGAAAAGACGGCAGCAGTTCCATTGGACCACTGACTGGTAGGAAGAGACCCCTCCCCACTTGCTGTCGGTTTCTGTTTTACTTAGCCAAGCATACGCAAAAGGTTTGGAAATGAGCATACAGATCAGGAACACATCCATCATGTCTTCCTGTAACTTTGGCCCAAAGTTCCTGCCAGGAAGGCAAAATGGCTGGTGACACAAGAAGGTCAAGGCTTGCCAGCTACAGGATTCTGAAATTCATACAGTGCTATAGCTCATTTCTGTGTAGGATTCAAACTCCTACAGTGGGGTTCAAATTCATGCAGTGCTATAGCTCATTTCTGTGTGGGGTTCAGTTTCTGTGCTCCATGCTTCCACATAAGGGCATTGACAAATATGAAGCTTTCAGAAACTAAACTCTGCATCAGCAAGGCTACATGTTCACTGGGCGTTGTCAGTGCCCAGGCAGTCTGAACACCTGTCTTGTCTCCAGATGAGTCCCAGAAGGCCCTCCCTGCACAAATGGACACCCTCCATTGGGGGGGTTTTATATACAACATTGAGATTACATTTATTAGGAGAAATACCTATACAACCATGAAAAAAATTTTTAGTGATGTAAGAGTGTAATCTGAATTTAAAAATCAGGACACAAATGTCATATATAATATAATCCAAATTATACAAATATGTAAATAAAATATTCTAATAAAAATTAGAAATATGGATAGTAAAATTTTAATCACTTAATGTTTTTATTTTGTTTTTAATTATTTTCCAGAGTTTTCATATTGGCCCACTTCTTAAAATTCAAACTTAATTTTTTAAATTAAATTATCATAGGGATCATTTATATTTTAAAATTTTAACCCAACTATATAAGTATAAAGTATATAAGCATGTTTTTTC